TAACATTTTATTTGAACATTTTATATAAACCGTGTGGAGCGGTTTATATAGCGTCATATAAGGAACCGTGCGACCAATCACATTGCTGGAAACTCTTTGCACAGACCTGTTTCGTGGTTGCCCACTCATCAGGGGATTTTAATGACAGAATAACGCAGTACCATTGCTTATATACTATACTAATTAACGTAATTAATTTGGTGCAAAAAGTGTCAAGTCAGCTGTTGCGTAGGAGGGCTTTGTTTCTGAGTTGGCAGACAGGTCAGGCCAGCAGATGATCAGGGATTTCTCTTTAAGGCATAGGTTGCATCATTTGCTTGAGCAGTTGTAGGGCAGGTGGGAAGATAGAATGCGCCAGGTGATGGAATAGCCGATGTTGTTGTCTTTAAGTGTCCAGATGGCCTTATTTATTTATTTTTTTTATGTATTTATTCATTGAAAGATGATCATTTTCTGGTCAAAATATTTGGGTGGAATGTGTGAAAAGAGCAAAACATGTTAGCCAGAAGGAAATGGAATGTTTGGAAGTATTATTTTTAGAGTCATTATCATTTAACAAATAGAGAAGTCCTGACTGTCTGTGTTCCTTTGTAAAGCATGCAGGAAACAGATGGAGCACCAAAGAAGTGTAGGGAGAAACATGAGACAGTCAAGTTTTTCTCCCCACTTCTTAAGTGCTCTAGCCACTTTTTAAGAGATTTACAACAGAACAGAGCACAGTCAAGGCTTCTCTATTTGTTTCCTAATAAAGAATCCATTAAATTATCCTTGTTATCCTAGCAATACTTTCAATTTTCAAAACAAATGCTATTTTTTTTTTATTTAAACATATTTATTGGACAAAATTTACCCTAAGAGTAAAAATACTCATCGAGAGGGTTCACTTCGAAATACCATTGAAAAAAAAAAAAGTTACAGAAAATAAGTAATAGTCAAAGCTGTAGCAAAACAAACAATATAACATTTAAGCAGAGCTGACAGATGGTAAATACACATTTAAGTACTTGGACAAAATCTCTTAGATTCGAATATAAATGACTGGACATGGAAAAAAAAAATTGTTATTTTGCTTCTGAGAAAGTAACTGTGAACGGGATAGAAAAACTGACACAATTTGTGCTTTACACATGGAAGACCACCTGTCAGCTAATATACAAGCAGCAGAGGAGAGCAGTTTGGTTCTAGGGGCAGAATAAAGTGGACACTCAAGGAAAAAATGCTTAACAGTATCATTATAAAAACCACAAAGACACATGAGGCTTTCTTTACATCCTATTTTAAAAGGATAATAGTTAAATGCGCAGTTGTCTAAACATAAACGAGTGTGGAAAATTGCATTGAATCTATCAATAGCAAAGTCATAAATAGCGTTATAACTAGGCACATTATAAAAGGAAAAGAAAGCTTTTTTAAAAGAACTAATGGACTCGAGACAAGGCATATCAAAACTAATATCATTCCACAAGGTAGTAGTTGAAAGGAAAAAAGATCTTTTAAAATGCTCAGTGCGACTTACAAAAAGAGAGTGATTTAATGCCGTACGTAAGGAGTAATTTGTTCTTTGACTAACTTATAAAGGTAATACATCAAATAAATAACTAGGACAAAAATTAGTGCCAATCTTAAAATATAACAACAATTTATGAGTGGCTCTCTAAGTTTTAAGATCTTGCCACCCAATATCTTGCATAAGACAATGCTTATTGGTCCCCTTCATGGCCCTGGTTACGATTTTAGCTGCCTCGTATTGCACATGCTCAAGGAGATCACTCTCACTTTCAGTACATCCATCCCACAGCACATCAGTGCATTCCATTAGGGGGTGCACCAGTGATATATACAGTTTTCTTAAAGTAGATCTATCAACCTTGTACTTCATACCTTTTAGAATATTAAGCTTTCTAGAAGCCTTCTTATAAATCTTAAAGAAGTGCACCAGCCAAGAAAGGTCATTGCAAAGAACAACACTGAGATGAGTGTGTTACACAACTTCGATAATTTTTTTACCACCGTAAAATAAATAAATCTGGGTGAAGTGGCTAGATCCGTTTTACGAAGGTCGTGCATTCGGTCTTCACGGGATTGATAACAACAAGCCATTTCCAAGCCCAGTTTATTTTCAAGGCAAACAAATATTTGTGGTGTGGTCAGCATGCTCTAGTATACTATCACGAAGCACACTACACCACAATAAGCCAATCAGAATCCTTGTAAGAATGGTTCAAATAATCTGATTGGTTGAACAAGACTGAAGCGGTCAAAAATGTCAAACCAGTGAAGTTCACAAACCATCAAAGTTCACAATTTGAAAAAGTTTGGCCAGTCAAATTTAACACTTTTCTTTAACATACAGAATCTGAAAGTAAAATGTTCGGTGAAATCCAGCCAAACTGTGGCTCATTAAACATGCAAGTTTTTTTTCATGTGGCAATTCGAAAACAAACAGCTCAAGGCATGTGTTTTATGAATCAATGAGAGCCAAATTCAGAGGAACATGACATTGCCATAAAACTTGGCTGCTGTGACTGATGTGGTGTTCCACTTGATGATGCATCAGAAAGGATATCAGAGCAAGCTCTTAGTTAATAAAGGCTGATAGTTTCTAAAGAAACTGTTTGGTGCTGCATCAGTGGGGGTAACGAAATAATTTGAATATATCAACAAAGTTGAAATGGTAAATTGGCCACCGTTACGATTATAAAAGCTGACGTTTCAAGCGTTAGCCCTTCGTCGGAGCGAAGCGTTAGCCCTTCGTCATTCGCTCCGATGAAGGGCTAACGCTTGAAACGTCAGCTTTTATAATCGTAACAGTGGCCAATTTACCATTTTAACTTTGTTGATATATTCAAGCTCTTAGTTGTTCACCCAAAGGGTGTAGTGTAATTTCTGAGATTTGCCTAATTGCAATGACGGGTGATTACCATAATATAATTCAGCATAATTGAAGTCTGGCAAACAGTCAAACTTTGAACAAATTGGCGGATGGTTTGACAGCTTTAGCTTGATCAGCACCTTGTTTTGTACTCTGATAGTGCATGCTCTTTTAATCAAACTTTATCATAAAAAATTGTCCTAACACCTTAAAATGAAAGGAGTAAGAATTATTACGTTATAAATTGTGTTGTACACAATGATATATTTTATGTTATTTCAGTCACCTTAAAGTGCAGTAATTTGCAAACAATACTGTTTGATTCACAATGTATATCCTGATAAATTAGGAGAAGACAGAGATTTTGAAACCCTGAGGGAGCGTGTGTTGCGGACCCATCTGGAGGCATCTCATGTTAACACCAACAGGAGTGGACTCAAAAATGTAAGGAGAAATGTGGCATTTTCAATCATATAATAGAGGATATCAGCATTCAAATTTCATAATATTTTTGTAATTATCTTTGAACTTTGAAGATGTGCTCTGTTAAGTTTAAATAATCCTTTTACCACCCATTTCACAATGCCTGTCAAGGAGGTTATTTTGATAATGAGGATTCAGTATGGTTGCACTATCCTTCTAAAATACTCAAAATTTTTAAAATTCAAAATTGCATCCTCAATTAAAGTTTGAGTCTCTGGGTTCCAGCATAAAAAGGTGGGAGGGTATGTTTCTCTTTGTATGATTTCAAGGTGTAGAAGGAATGATAAGGGATATTTTGCTCAGATTTCCATTATCTTAGCATAGTAAAAGAGTTACCATTCTCTTTTTATAGAGTTTTGGTACCTCTACCTCATACTTAACAACAAAGTTAATTGTACATGTTTTCATTGGTTCTTTATGATAATCTCTTAGATGACAGATGCATAGACAACGTCACCGTTATGGTTTTTTTGCTAGATTCCATGCTGCTTTCTTAGAAAATGATCAGAGATAATGTCAACATCAGTTACACACAGCTGTCCTTTGTGTGGGACTTTTTTTGTTCTTACTAAATTTTGACATCATTGCGATCTTTTACTGAACAGATACATAGCAACATGGGATCTATTTGCTGATTTGAGTCAAGATAATTTTAGATTTTGATTCCACAGATATAATACAATATTGCTTCAAGGATTGTATATTCTTGTTTTTAAGTTTTCTGCACCAAGGAAAATAGCCCCAGAGGAGTATTTTGTTCTTGGAGATGGAGAGGAAGCACATTGGGAGGTAAGATAACACATTGGGCTCATTCACATGTACGGTTGTGGATGATTTATTCAGTAATTTTCACCGGAATTCACTTGTAATTTTGGTCAAATTTCTCTACTTCTTAATACACATCACTACAATGTAGTGGTAAGACAGTTTTTTCATTTTTGAAATTCAAAGGTTGGTATTGATCAACTGAAACAGTACTTTGTTTAATTTTCTGACACCTGCACTTGATAATAAAATAAATGCATTTCTCATGTTTTCACTGAATTTTAAATTTTAGCTTTAAAAAAGTGTGGTCTATGTAGTTAATAATAGTGAGATTACCACTAAGGAAGATATATTTTTAGTTTGACTATTGTCTTGAGCAGGAGTCCAAGAAAAAAATCACAATCACCATCTTGCACAATGATTTGAAGCTGATACTTTCTAATTTTACAGCAGGATGCCTCACTAACTCAGCCACAGAAATGTTTTTCTTTGCCTTGCCCTTGTGAAAAGTGTTTAACATCTACCTTTACTTGACAACCAAGCTCAAAATTTACTATCTCTATAAATTTATTTGCAAGGATCAACTTTTACAACAGAGTGCATTAGGCCTGTCATATAACTGATTAACTCACCAGTGAGTTAGTTTTAGTTAACTTGGAAGGTTGTTAGAACCTGTGTGGGAAATCAGGAGATCTGAGGTTCTAATGATCCTAGAAGGGAAGTTAGATTTTTCTTTTTCCTACACCCATGACAAAGGAAAGGAAAATTATTTGTGTCACTTAAATCTTACTATTTTTTTCATCAGGTCTCATAAAATAAGCCATTTTCTACCAATATTCAGCACATGCTGGTTTCTGGGCATTTAGATGTGCTACAATTCAAACTTAAGAATTTACAGTTTAATGAAAATGATTGGGTTGAAGTGTTATGATATCGTAGTAATGGTGTTTAATTACAAATTTCAGGTTGTTGAGAGAATATTATATGTTTATGCAAAACTTAATCCTGGGTTAGGTTATGTTCAGGTGAGGAAATGTTTCTCAACATTTGACACTGTATTAGTAAAAACATGATGATAAAACATACTTCTTTCTGAGAGTGATTAAAGCGTCAAAAAATATGTCAGTGTTTATGGTGTAAAGTGTCAGCCCCTTAAGTCATTGTCAACTTCTTACAAAATTTGTACAGTCCAGTAGTAAGTTATTTGCAACAGAGTTTTCGAAAAGAAATGTAGTATATAAGGAGAAAAGAATGAGGTAAGGGGAGCAGAATATTGATGATTTCTGAATAAGAGAGAGTTCAGGTCTGTGAAATTAATCCAGAGAATTATTCAACCCCCAATGCACAGTGAGAATCTAGGGATTTTAAAAACATTTGTTAGTAAGTAGGGCTTTCAATAAGACTGGCACCTGCTGGAGCTCCAGCAGATATTCTGTTGTGAATCACACGGTATACTTGGCCACATCCAAGCTGAATTTTCAGGGGAAAAAAAATGTATAAATAATAAGAAATAATAGTCAATTTTAGTAATGGAGTATCCACTTTATTTGTTTTTCAAATTCTGTGGTCTTTCTTTGTTTAATTCATTGACTTTCACTGGCCGTTTTCTCTTTCTGCTTGTTTTGCATGTTCTACATCTATTCATCGTGCTCAAAATAGAAGTACACATTGTTGCTTTCTTAAAATAATTTTCAAACAATTATTTTGTGCTGAACTAAAATCATCAAACATTTTTGGACAAATGAAACAACAAAAGTTCTTCTCAACTGCTACTTAAAAAACAAACTTGAAAATCTGAATTATTTAGATAGCACCCTTGTCAATAAAAAATGTAAATGAAATTTGGATCTTTTTTGCAAAGATGTTAAGGTTGCACAAAAACACTTAGGGCTTAACTACAAAGAGAGAAATAAAAACAGCCGTTACCACTTAGTGTCTAATCTTTTGTTAAAAAAGCTAAATTTGTCATGGAAAGAGAAGAAGATCAGATTCTTGTACTTACTGGTTAACCAGAACATTAATTAGAAAGTGACTTTTCATGATTTTCAAGAAGCAATCAGTGGCTAAGGATCATTGTGTAGGATCTGATGTGAAACACAAGCCATGGGAACAGTAAGAATTCATTGGCTGATTGATTTAAATCAATTATCTTAGGTAAACATCAGCAGCTGAATGCATCAGTAAAGACCAGAATAATCCTGGGATTTTCTTGTGAAATAAAACTTGTTGAATTCACTGCTGTGTATAATTTCACCCCGAAACCGAAAAAAGATTGAGCTCACAAAAAAAGTGTTCTGCTTTTCAAGAGCTTTGTTTCCAATTGCAAGCAAAAGAAAAAGTCTGTGAACAAAGATCATGACAAATAAGCAAGTATGAGTCAAAAAGTGATGTATGGAAAAAAAAAAAACAAGAGAATCTGGCCTGGCCAGGGGAAGAAAGGTTTAGGTCATGGCATCAAAATTTGGAAACATGTGAATACATAAATTCGATGCACCCATTTTATCGTGTATTGGTTTTGAAGATTGCCTGTTGAAATTGTTTAGTATCATGTGATGTTGGATGGCTACCATCATTCTGATATTTCTGTACCTTGTTGGAAGCTTTCAAGCAAACTCACATAGTGAGACCTAAACACATCAAGATCTTTTGGAGTTCTTTCAGTCAACTTTTGCCTTTATAAACAAGTTTTAATAAAAGTGATTGGTATTGTGTTGTAATATACCACATTTCCACTAAAAAAATGACTGAGTCTCCAAGAACACACTAACTCAAGTCTTTTCAGAGGACTTGTGGGTGAAACCCTGGCAGCAGGTTTGCATGTCAGCAAATGAAAGATTTTGAGTAGCAATAAAACAATCAGTTAAACAATTATTTCAAAGGAGAGTAAAATTTAATGATGACTTACCAAAGTTTAGCACTGAAAACTCTGTGTGAAGCTAATATATTCTGAATTAAACTAATGGGCTAGCAGTAGGGAAATTGTTTTTCTTATTATTCTCCTGTGGGTGCTTTACTCAGGTAGTCACCTACTTCAAATCCTATTGAAAGCACTGTATTTGCTATTTTTCCAGGGTATGAATGAAATAATTGGGCCACTGTACTATGTTTTCTGCTCTGATCCAAACCCAGAATGGCAAGGTTTGTCACTAATTGATTTTTGCTTTCAATTTTTCGGCAACCTACTTTTCTTAGTTAAAAGATGCATTGCAAAGGAAAAACAACTTTACTAGTTGACTGACAACCAATGGTGAAAGTAATGTATTAGTTTATGTCACTGAGTTCAAGTGTACTGGTAAATTATGGAAGTCATTGACTTTTTTGGAATGACTAGTTGTCTCTGCATTGTTATTTCACAGAAAATGTGGAAGCAGATGCATTCTTCTGCTTTACAAATCTGATGTCAGAGATTCGAGATAACTTCATCAAGACACTGGATGATTCAGCTTGTGGTATTGGTGAGTTTAGTAGACTGGTAGATGTTAGCAACAGGCATTTGTCCATAGTGAAATGGTATTTCCAGAGATTTTGTCCAATTTGTCTTCATTTTATCTTAAATTTAGAAAGATATCTTAAGAAAGTGTACATTCCTGCCACTTTTCAGGAAACATGATGAAAAGTGTTCGAAACATGTTGAAAGAGAGGGACATCATGTTGTACAGATACCTGGTAATTATAAGATAGTAATTTTGTTCACTGATCTTGGTATTTAGGTCTTTATTTAAAGAAAAAAAGTAAAAAAGGGGACTTTTAGACATGTAAGTGCTAGCACTTCTCTAAGTAAAAGAATAGGTTTTACTGCTTTTATGCTTCAAGATATTTGTACATAGATATTCAATGCACACCTCTTTTTTAAACTCAAAATGCAGCAAGATAGCAGTTTTAGGAGATATAATTCCTTTGTGTTTTCAGTCATTGCCTACTGCCTGCAAGAGTTGTGATTTCAAATGTAAATTCTTTATGATAGCTTGGAATTTACTCTCACTTGGAAGTTGGCAGACTGGAGTGGAATTCTGCTGAACTAAGGGTGGCCCTACCAGGTTAAACTGAATGGCAGCACCATATTTAGGGGAGAATTTTTAAACTGCCTTAAATTTGTCCCCCTTTTGGTCTGAGAATGGTTTGAACTGACATGATCATCTTCTTTGCATCTGGTCATTTGGGTCAACCAAAATCATAATGCGTAATTACCAAAATTTACAAAGAAAAGTGATCAATGTAAGACAAAACTATACTAGATTATATATGAAATTCCAATTTCTTACGAAACTCTCCATGTAATACAGACTTCATGAAACACAATGGACGTGTCTGCTAAACACAGATTCATTTACAATAAATATTGGAGAAAATTTTGGACATAGTCTCCTTCCCATTTTGACGAGGGGTGCTCATGTCTTATAGGGTACAGTTAGTGAAGGTTTAAGTGTTTTTGTAAAGTATACATCTATTGCAGGAAGAGCAGCAGATGAGGCCACAGTTCTACAGTTTTAGATGGTTAACATTGCTATTATCTCAGGAATTTGCCCTGCCAGGTACTAACATTTGAATTTATTATATCACTGACAGTGCCTGTGACAATAGAAAGCAAATTCTGATTGCCTACCTAAGCAGGGAAGATAGGCCTGCCTTTCCCACTCTTACTTAACCGCTTTGGTCCTGGGCAAGAAAGAAAATTACCTAGAGCAAACCTACCAACAATGTTTGTAATTTTTGAACAGTGTCAGGGATGGAGTCACTAAAAGCAGTAGACAACAGTCAAAATAAAGAAAACACAAATTTCTTTTGTGGGATTATTGTGCCACAGAAACAGTTGGCTTTCTTTCCCATCTCTCGAAATATACAAGTAATTCTTGATTAAAGCAAATACTTTGCTATAATTATATTGAATCCTTCATTGACCAAGCTTGTTCTGTCCAGACTGCTTGATATTAGCTTTGTTCTTTTTTCTGTTTTATGGACCTTGACTTCGTTTTGGTCCATAAAAATGCAAAAGAAGAACTCATCCAATATCTAGCCATCTTGACCTGACACTTCATCAATACCTCTTATTTATTAAGAAGTTCTCTTCTTGGAAACCTCCCTAAGTTTCTTCAAGTGAACTCTTAGATGAGCATTTTTCATTTTCTAGAACTTTTTTAGTTATCTATCAATCAAACTTGTGTTAAAAAAGAAGCTTTTGCAACATGACAGAACTAGACTAGTCATATAGCCACAAAGGGAGGATAACCTTTTGACATTCAAATGAGGAAAATAGGCTGATGTCTCAATGTTTATTGTCCTTTTGCTTTTGTTTGGTTACTGGTCATTCTGCCAGTTGAAGTTGTGTATCTCTGCAGATATATGCTGATTTTCAAATGCAATTATTTTGTTTAACTGCATTACAGATGTCATCAGGGTGTGGGATTCTTTGTTTGCTGATGAGAAACGTTTTGATTTCCTGATTTATGTTTGCTGTGCAATGCACATGTGAGTAAATTAAGTAAAAAATGTCAGTTCTTAGGAGTAATGTTATATTAACTTTTGTAAATTGTGTGCATTACCGTGAGAGTGCATTTTTTACTAACTTAAAGGAGAACTAAATTGAGTGTATATGTTTTTGTAGGGTGATAAGGGATCAACTGCTGGCTGGCGATTTTGCTACAACAATGAAACTTCTGCAGGTGCGGGATTGAAAAAGAAAATTCACTGTTCTTGTTTGTTTACCAGCAACCAAAGCTACACACCAGATTATTTCTGATAATTATTGCATTGTTTATTAGATAGCATTGTGTCTGCTTCTAGAGGTTCTCTTTTATCAACTTCAGGTGTTGTGACTTACTATATTGTCCAGAGTCTGCCACAGTTTGACCCTACCAGTGGTCAACATCCAAATTTGGTTAAATGTATCCACCCATATAGATCAATTGCAATGACTAGACCTAGACCAGGAGTTACCCACACCAACTACTGAGAGCCTACATAACAAAAAGAGTTGAATCACCCTCACAGACTTGATATTAATGGTTAAGTTTCACACTACAGTAATTTAGACTTCGTTTTTACTTGTTTTCAGAACTATCCAGATATTGACATCCACACAATACTCTCCAAAGCAATAGATCTCAAGCGTCCAAGAGTGGCTGCACCCAATCAAACACACCAAAAACAGAAAGGTGGACTTCAGTTTAAGAAGAGATGACCACTGTTTCTTCAGAATATGTCGGTCAGATATTGGAAGAAATATGCCTTTAATATTAATGTAAGGTTTGAAAGACCTTGAAATAGTCAATCAATGTTTTTTTGAAGGGTTTCCTACAGTTTTCAAATCAGTGGAAGAAATAACCTTGTTGGCACTTATTTTCGCGGATGTTTAATTTCGCGTTTTCCGCAATTGACAGAAACACGCGAAATCAAGGACCTGCGAATAAAAATCACTGCGAAATTTGATCTCCTATCGTATATTCAAATCACAGAAAAAAATGATCAACATGCAATCATAAAATCATACACAGGATATGTATCGACAAATACACAAATTATTAATTGGTCTAATTGGTTCTATTTTGTCTCTTCTGTGGTGAAATGACGTTAATTTGCAAGGATTTCGCATATTAAGTAGAAAATCTAGCTATCGTTTTGAAAAATGAAAATTTAATGTCCTTTTTTTCCTATTTGCCAACTGAAATTGCCAAAATCGCAAAATTAAGTAGCAGTAAAGTACGTGGTATGTAAAATCAATCAGAGAATATTGTTGTGAAGATGTCTTTTATGCAGCCATAACTTGGGAAGGGTAAAGGGTGGGAAGGCAAGCTGGTTTGATTTTTAGACTTCTGCTATGATAACCTACTAACACCTTTTTAACCCTTTAACTCCCACGATCTGATTGTGAATTCTCCCCTCTAGCCGTTACACATTTCCTTGAAAATTAGTGACGAGAATTTGGTGCTCTATCAAGGTAACAACTTCTACCTGATGAAGTTTGAGTATTCTCATTACCTGTTTGCTAGACAATGTATGGACATTATAGGGAGAGGTTACATATTAATCACTTTTGGGAGTTAAAGGGTCAATTCAAAGTGGGGAAGTACATAGTTTTAAGAGATCTTCGGCCGCTAAGGTTGACACAGTGGTCACTCCACTGGCTTTAATTGTGTTCTAAGCCGTGAGTTTGAAATCCAGAGGAGCAGTGTCGCGAGAGAGAAAAGACAACGCCGGAAGGACGGGGCACTGTCTCAAATCCCAGCATCCCAATCTTCAGCCTTCACTTGCCCGCGATGCAGTAGAGGCTGTACATCACGCATCGGCCTTCACAGCCATCAGCGGGCCTGCAGCCTTCCCTGATCTTCGGACACGAAGAACCAGCCATCATCAGGCTCAGCTAAAAATTTATTTTCTAAGTACACGTTAAGAATAGTAGGGTGGGGTGAAGAAGGGCGTTTGGTTCCTTGGATGTGATAATATCATGTTGATGGGCAATAGTTATCCTGTTGGATACTTCATGTTGGGGAACCTATCTTTTCAAACATATTTCGCGAATGCCCCGATTTTACATCACAAACCTATGGAAAGATAAATTTAAAATTATGACGTAGTCTTCTACTTTTATTGTATGGGAAAGACATTTTACAAATATTATTTTGATCCCTTTGGTTTGGTTGATTAGTTATTTCTTCGAGGAAGCGTTTGACTCAAATAGAACTGTTGCGGTGAGATTATCACGTATGCTGCTCTCGAATATCATTTAAATTGTTTTCAATATGATTTTATAACAAGATCATGACGATCATAATTACCCACAACTGATTGGTAAAGCCTCTAAGTATTTTGCTGTAACAATACTAATCCTATTACCTTCCGTCCTGTAGAAATATGTAAATACATTGTTAGAAGAAATTATTTGGACTTTGCAAGAAAATTACAGATTAATAAATTTTATACTGTAGCCGCTTTGTTTGTGGTCGTGACATTTCGTGGGAACCTTAATACCTCCATCGAGTTTTATTGCCAACATCCATATTAGTCATAAGAACTTTAATTCCTCAACTGACCCTTCATTATTGTCTCAATAAGAAAGAACACCTCAACCTGTTCAATCCCAGTCTTATTGGTAATTCTCCTTATTGTCTGCCATACAATTCTTATTGAGTTAGTTTAGAGAATTTGGTATTAGATCAACTAATGATCCCCTAATTTATAGTTTTCTTTTTTCTCGTCACCTGTGTAGTTTTACTGTGTTGATATTGTCAGGAGAAATTCTAATTTGGTGACTCCTGTTCCCATGCTCTTACTGTACGCGCAACTCGTTTTATAATGAAATGGAAAAACCAGAATAACATAAAAGACCAAGGGCATTACGTTGAAACAAGTCGCAAATTTGACGAATCTTCTAGCTTAAATGCACCTAGAATTCAATTTTTTCACAATTTGCTAAATTGATAAGCGTACACAGTTTTCTTTTTATTTTATAATGAGAAGCCAGTAGCCTGTATGGCACATCAAGCGGAAGGTAAGACATGCTACTGTTACCGGGTACCCTAAGTTAATTCATGCAAAACTATTAGCGCAATCATTTGAAGCAAAGCAAATTAAACATATTAACAAAACGATGGATCAACATCAACCTTGAAATTCGAGGCATTTTACATGCTGGGTGACTCATAAGTTTGCTTGAATGTGCAGTGGTTTTTTTCTTTATTTTCTTTTCCTCTTTTACTGTTCTGGGCAGTTTTCTCTTGTCTGGAAGTTGTATAGGCTGTTCGTCAGACTCAACTTGTGATCACACCTGCTACTTCCCAAAACTGGAGAACAGACAGAATTCAACCAACCGGAGATGATCCCTGGGGCTCTAGTGACTTTTATGGTCTCACCAAATGAGCCACAAAAATAGAATATCAATTATTTTGCTTGGGGACAACTAATCAGACTACTTAAGAGTAATCAGTGTATATCCAATGCCTTTTTCTTCTACTTGGTTATAGATAGCAACTGAGAAAATCTTCCCAAAGGCTAGCTCTGACGCTAGTTTAGCTATTGGCTGTATCTCCTCACTCACCGAGTGCTCTAACTAGTGAGCAGTAGTACTTAACGGTGAAATTATCTGATCAGGGTTGCGTTAAAGTCGCTATTGTTGACCTCACTTCTTGTATCATCCTGCTCAGAACTTGCCATCAATAACTCGTAGGATTGGTCTATTTCCTTCTTGGCCCGTGCCGTGTCTTGGTATTCAAAGGAATCATTCTCGTGTAGCTCTTTCCTGATGAGAAATGTCACACACATTACGAAAAGTGAAAACACAGCCAGCATAACTGCTCTTTCCAAGCTTGTAGTTGACAACATTTTCCTTGTAGAATATGATCTCGCTTTGCAAGATGAATAACTGAGTATCGTCAACTCAACCAAGGAAGTATCTGTTTCCTCTTCTTTATGTTCGTTGTTCGACTTCTGATACTGGGCTTAAGATGGTCTGCTCATATGTTACAATCTTAGAAAATGCGTCAAAGTATTTAAGATAATCTCTTCAGAAGTGACAACTGATATCACGTCTGCTGAGACTCTATTGAATGATATTCATAATTAATAATGCTTAAAAAAAGAAAGACTTGTTGGGTAATCGGGTTGTTTATGGAGGCGTTTAAAGTCACATGCTGTGAATATTATGACAACCATCTAATGAAATAATTTTTCGTCCATCCCTTTTCAATGATCGTGCTTCACTGAAAATGGGACCAACGTAAACCTTCATTCGTTTTTGATCCCATGTGATCATCACAAATCACATCGACACTAGAGTGTAAGTAATCAAAAAAATTCTGGAGGTAAAAGCGAAACGAAAGGGGGGGGGGGTTATCGTGTTTTGATTCACCATTAGAGTTTATTCAACGCTTGGCCAATTCCAGTTAGCAGCTAAATGAAGCAAATTTCCTCGTAAAGAGATTTCTACAGGTGACCAATAGTGACAATTCACCGCGGGTCACCCCAGTAAACACCAAGAGTGCTTCGGAAAAATATATTATAACACCACAAGAACCATTCAGCAAAATTTGTAGAAGTGGAAAAGAAAACACGATTTTCTCTTCTTAACTTTTCTTTTTTAATTCATTTACTTTTTCCCAACTTGGTTAAGGGCAGCCATGGGAAACTTCACTTAAATCGGCGCCAATGGTATCATTTCTATGCGTTTGCTGAACAACAATGCTATTAGCTTAAATATGTATTACTGCAATTAAATTTTATTTGAAATTTTCTCAGGTTGCATTCGGGGTGTTAAAATTTAAGATAGTGAGGAGTAATTTAACTTTCCTTCTTTTAAAGCAAATGACTTCCATCATCGTTATGGAACACACCCTTAGCCAAACACAATCTATCTGGACTCCGCCTACCAGTGTAGATGAAAGGCATACTTTAAATGCTTTTTCGCATTTCCACTTGTGAAGGTGACTATTTCTCACAGCAAGATTCCTCTGTTCAATGAAGCAATCAGCAAAGCATGGCTGATGAGAATCTTAGACAAGCCTTATGACGAACGGCCGAGTTTACCAAACTACTCTAACTAGTAATCGGTTCACGCCCGACACGACACGTACGATATATAACGCTTTCTACCGTCCTCTAGCAATTAGCTACTGAGATGTTAAGTGAGGGTAGACAAACCACACTAAAACAACGTTAATATAAGAACCATCCACTGAAAAAGTTTGTAATCACACTACTTTATATTTATATTTGGACATTTTTAAATATCCAACTTAAAAGTTAAAGAACAAATGGGACAAATTTCAAACGCATACCCGGCTTTGGAGAAAAATAGACCAGGCCCTAGTAGTTTAAAGTGATGATGAAACTATCCAGTGGATGTGTGTTTTCGCACAAAACGTGGTAAGCTTTCCACCGAATAGAGATATCCGCCCTTCGAACAACCGGGGCCAGAGCATTCACACGTTTATATCCAAATACAATTCATAACTTCGAAGCCATAAATGATCCAAGATGTATGTTGATCTATGTTGCCTTGTCTTTTAATCCACAAGTTAATTAACCCTTGTTCAGCTTCAATGGTTGCAATGCTAACATTTCGCTCCAGTATAGCTTGTATCACACAGTCAACCATAAGGTGTCAAAAAGTTATCTTAGCTGATCACATGGGTTTCCCTTAAATCTTGCACTCACATTTGTCGTGTTGGCAAATTGACTTAACATTGGTTCCGATTCCAAGACACCCGAATACAAACTAATTGTGACATGATGCATTATTCAAGGCGGGTGTGGGAACAGTACCACGGCCAGTATGTTGCGTGCACCTCACATTTCTATTTATTTATTTATTTTTTAATTTTCTTTTATATATATATATTCCTTTGATATCATACTTTCTGCAAACATAAGCCTGTTTGGCAAGAAAGCAATCTCAGCAGTTTGTTCCCACAGTTTTGATGGGAAGTCAATGTACCAACCTTGTAAGAAACCAAGTGGAGGTCAAATATATTGCAGTGCGTGCAACAGACAGCTCACTCTAAAAAGTTCTTAGTGCTAACAACTCCATAAATAAGAAGACTGTCTCTTCTTTTGTGATTATAATATCAAAATTATAACAATGATATCAATAAAAACTATTTTACGCCTTGAATTCAATCTTAAGGTTTGAAAGTTGGGGAATATCACCGGATATTTCCAAGTTTTAGTTGAGCTTTTCGACCAATCGCGGGCAAGAAGAAATATTATAGGCTTTATCAAATGTGTTTACTTGAATAAAGCGACACAACGAGAAGACTGTGTGCTGATACTGGCGTAGAATAGGATAAAAGGAAGCTCTTTTTCACTCTATTTACTGTCAAGCTTGTACAACTCTGAAGAGGGCCGAAAGATTTTCTACGTGTAGACTGCAATAAAAATGTTGCCACCGCCTCAAAATATTCATGGATGGTTGCATGATCGAAGAACATGAGGAGTTGAAGTCATAATCTGAACGCATTAGTGACACCATTAGTTCCTAAACCGGAAGAAGTGCGAAGCTCCGCTGAAATGGCCGCCGTTTGAAAAAGCACGTTGAATGTCTTCGAATTTGGGCAGATTGACCAGGTTACCAAGTGCCGCCACGGAAGGTTTGGTTGCTAGCATCCGGGAACTGACGCGCTTAATATCGTCGACTGTAACGTTTTCTGAAGAAAAAAAGAAAGGCATTCTTTAATCATGGTGCAGGAATAACGCACATACAAAACAGAGAGCTCTTTCATCCACTTTAAATTGCAAGACTCGCATCTGTCACATGAATGAATGAATGAATAACTTTATTAACGTGTCAATCGTTCCAGTTTTTACAAGTAAAAACTAATTGGGGACACCTACTACGTAAACTAAACTAATAATTATAATAATAATAAGAAGAAAAACTATATACAAACAATATAAAATTGATAAAATTAAGTTTCACATAACTCACAATTTTCACAATTATTTTCCGATATAACATTTGATAGGTCAAGGACTCTGACTTGATTTTTAAATACAGTTAGAGAGTCAGCCATTTTGATTGATTTGTGGAGCTTCGACCAACTATAAGGTCCCATGTACCTTAAGCTATGTCTTCCGTATGTAACCGTGTCGTATCTTGGTAAGGAGAAATCGTCTGCATTCCTTAGATTGTACCTACTTACGCCGCAACTAAAAAGTTCAGAAATATATGGTGGGACTAAATTAGTCTTAACTTTATAAATAAATATAGCCATGTCCTGGAGTCTGCGATTACATAACGTTGGAAGTCTTGCTTTACCTAGAAGTGCTTCATAAGTGCTAGCCCTGTCACAGAAAATAGCCCTCATTGCACGCTCCTGCAGCCTTTCAAGCTTTCTCTCGTCTGACGAGCGACAATGGTGTCATACTATATGACAATATGTAACTTGGGGTAAAATAAAAGCTTTAAAAATTCTTAATTTAGCTTCAGTAGGCATTAAATTCCTAAACCTCATAAGTACTCCTACTTTCCTTGCCCCCTTAGTACAGACATTATTGATATGCTTAGTAAAGTTCAAGTCAAAATAAATGTAAAGGTTTCTTCAGCATAACACAACTAACCCGTGTACTTAGAACTGAACTCGCTAAGTTGTTAAGACACCAAAGGTGACCTAAAGTTGGATTTTCTGCCTAATCATTATTAACATTGTCATTGTGATCACCGCTATAATTGTGGTTGACACCATTGTTATCACTGTTACTGTCGTTTTCACTTTCATTGTCAATATCATCGTTATTATTTCAAAGAATTATTCTGTCAGTACAAGACGCACTTTTGGGTTTGTATGTCATACAAATCAGATCGGGACTTGGAGCGACCATGAACAGTCAAACAAAAACCCATATTCTTGATGCTCGAACCAATCAGATCACGAAGGAAAAGTGCTCCACAAAGTACTGATGAATTCAATTAACTGATTGATATGATCACTGGACCAGTTCAGCGTCTAGAGAACTAACAAGAACACGAACGAATTCTCAAGGTGGCGGAAGAGCCGAAAGGTGATGATGTATTTCAAAATTCTAGTGCCCTGCAATTATTTATCGCAGCATTAAACTCAAAATAAAAGAGAGCACAGTAAGTTCAGGAGTATTTGAGATGCTTTGATTTCGGTACTTTTTGAATGAGATGACGTGTTACCATGTCATACTCCTCTTGTAAAGGTACGTTACTCAATTATTTCCCGATCTAAACAAAGAAAATAAGATAATTTCTATGACAAAGAAATGAAACGCTTGAATAGAGACCGCAAAATATACTTTAAAGTAACTGACTTGAAATCAATCCCTGTTTGAGTTACTATTTGAAAACAACAAAAACAACATCTTAGTACCAAAAGCGGTATGTTGCTCGCATCGATCGGATTGCACCGACTGTGTTTGTCGCACCGATAAGATTGCGCCGGCTATGTTGCCCGCACCAACCAGATTGCGCCATGTATGTTGCTCGCACCAACTGGATTGCGCCAGATATGTTTCTCGCACCAATCAGATTCGCTAGGGTATGTTGCTTGCACCAATCAGATTAACACAAAAGGGTTTGTTGATCGCACTGCTGATCAGACAACGGCACCAGGGTTTGTTGCATTTGGTATGAATGCAAAAGAATGACTGCCGACGTTCGAAGGTAACCCTTTTTTCATTGCAAATGAAATCAAGATGCTGCGATACCTGTCGTGCGTCAGAACGACAGCACCAGTGCTAGCGTTGGGTGCAAGTCATGCATAGCACAGTACATGCTTTATTTTGCCTCCTAGTTGCTCCTTTGGATGCAAAGTTCGGTAAGTCACCCTTACTTTCTGCTTCGAAGGTAACCCTTTTTTCATTGCAAATGAAATCATAATGCTGCGATACCTGTGGTGCGTCAGAACGACAGCACCAGTGCTAGCGTTGGGTGAAAGTAAAGTATCCGTTGCTTCGCCTTTAGAGGTTTTCCATGATTTAATTCGTCACTGTTACGTCGATACTTGTTCCCCTTGATTATTTGACTTTTTCCCGTTACCAAATATATTTCAGTGAATTTCACTTAAAATCCTTCACTACTGAATTTCATTAACATTGACCAAAATGCCACTGTTAGCTGATTACCCACACATTCTTCACGTGCTTTGACGTTTTCTACCAACCAAACTGACTTTTAACCACTTTGGACTTTAGTCATCATGTGTCAGTTCCTCGCAAACACCTTGCATTCTATCACGTAATCCACACGCAAGGGGTAAAGTCCAGATAAACAACAGCCAATCAGAGGGCTCAGTTTCTTACGCATTCTTGAACGCCTATGCAATACGATCTTCAATTCTGTTAGAGATAATGGGTTTTGATTTGCCTTTCCGAAGTCGAATTAATAGTAAGATGTACTGGGGGTAAATAACTGCCACGGAATAATTTGATTTTGTCCCTAACAGAGGAATGGCGTTAAGTGTGGCAGTATACTTTTGCTTCTAATTATTCAGAAAACGGAGAAGATCGACCACAAGATACCTTTTGTTAAAGGTTACTGCAGACAAACCGGACAGTTTTTTTGTTTGCTCTATATCAAAGGAATGTAATGTGAGATTCTCCTATGGATTGTTTTACAAGTTTTAAAAAGCTCGTTTCTTTCACAAAAATTAAAAATCAGCTATACAAAGTATCCCACACAAAGCCACCCCTGCCTTTGTTTTTCTTTGCTTTGTTTCTTTTGTTTAATTTCTTTGCATTTCCAGTAAAGACTTATGATACTTTTGATCTGTTTTTTTCTTTTCGGCATATATGTGAACACCAAGTGTTTTTCACAAAGGAATGGAGTGATGGTACAAATCTAAGGTAGATTCACTCATTCGGAGACTAAGTGGAGACTGTTGAGAATGATTTTGGTTCTTGTAGAATAATTTTGAATGGTAATTTCGCTCTCCTATTTTATTTGTAATTTGATACTTTTGGTTTTCTTCACCGATGTTAACGATTGTAACGTGATCGGTTATGCCGCATTTCATGCGTGTACTGAAGCTGCGATTTCTCGGGAAAGTAATGATTGTCTGCAAGGTCGTAAGCTGCGTGGCCGGTGTCCACATGTAAAACACAGGCTGATTATGTGGTGATTTCTCTACCTATCAAACCCATGCTCCATACTCTTGCTTATTCTGCAGAGAAAATGCTTTCATTTTTGGTTTTCGTTTAAAGTTGCTTTAATTGAAAGCTGTTCTGCATGTGGAACTCGACATAATTTGGGAGCAGGGAATACATCAAACAAGCCATTTTATCAAAGAAGGATTAAAACTGGAAATTCAGTAATACATATATTAAATCACAAATAAATCTTACCAATGCTTTGAAATAATTCTTGAGCAGACTTCCTTTTATTAAGTCCAAGAACTTGCCTAGGAAAATAAAACAATGTTACTTTTTCTAACATGGTAATCACTTCCCACATCCTTCTGGACGAAATTCATCGCCATTAAAACACGTAACTCAGTATGGAGAAAGCAAAAAAATTAGTTACACAATTCTTCGCTTCCCAATGAAAAAAAAGAGAGAGAGGAACAAAAAAAATAAATAATAACAAATAGATAACGACAACAAGCAACCAAAGTTTACTTGAAGATAAGTGCAATCTTACCTTCCTATATCCTCAAATACAATAACTCTTGATTCCAGATTCATCATCAACATAGACTGGAGCTGCTTCTTGGCTCTCGCTACTTCAACCTACAAACAACGCAAGGTATGGTTATTACCTCTCTAAAAATGAAACTATATCAGTCTATACATGGCCAAAGAACAGCTCGAGTGTTGACTCAAGTGGAGTGGTGAGAAATCACTTTGCAGAGTATGTGTTAAAAGAAGGCACTTCATGGTCCGTACTGTCACTTACGGACCATATTTATTCCCCTCTGCCCATCCTTATTCCCAAAGTGCAGAAGTGCACGTGCCATAAATTTGAGTGGAGAAGACAAGGTTCTGTAAATTACAGTATGGACCGAGAAAACCATGTTAGTAAGATACGAATCATAATTTATCTCTGAGTTCACAAAGAGGGGGAAGATTTCAAATCAAACACGCTTTTGAATTTAGCGGGCTGTACAGTGACATACAACCAGCTAAATTGACCAATCATGATGCAGGTACTAACTAAGAGATAAGATATGAGACCCTAAACATGTAAATGTAATAACCACGGCTTAAGGTAGTTTATGACCAACGTACCCCCTCTTAAATACTAAATTAAATCTTTTCGTTCCATGCTTCATAGTTCTCTATTTCCAAACTGGCTCATTGCAAGAGATTTATCAACAACCATCCCTATAGTGCAACATGTACTAAAAACATGGGCTTCACCACACTAGGTTTCCCTTTAACTAAACAAGAGAGTATGCAAGTATGGACTGCTTATGGACAGTGAAAAATTCACTTCTATTTTAGGAAACGCACCTCATTTACTGAACCATTGACAAGATTAAAGTATTCCTTGACAAGCACCTGAGTGAGGTCACGCAACTATAGATGGAAAACAGTAGGTACAAAAAATATGACAAATGAATGTGGTTTAACACAAAAATATTAAAAATTTAATGAGGACTAGGGAATAGGGAATGTATCATGTGATACACATCTAGACCTTGAAGAACCTTTGTTGTTCCTTTTCAAAAGAGATGAGCTAAAGAAGAGAAAGAGGACTGCCTGCTAAGTTTCCAAGTAGGAACCTTGATCAAGCTGGCAAAGATGATGATGAATAAGTGCACAAAAAAAGGCATTGCTTGCTACAAAACAGAAAGCTATGATGTATATAAACAAGACAACACAAAGCTACACCAAAAACTGAACACCTCAAAGTTTCTACCTTCCACCTGTGAGAATTTTGCAAAGAAAACATCCACTATAACTATGAATCCCATCAAACAAAGTTTGCTTTACAAAAACTGTTCTTGCCTGACTAGGGTGAGAACTTCCATGGATGCAAAACAAACCACTGTCTGCATAGCTGTGGTGGTACGCTGTGGCAGCATAAATCCAGTGATACCTGTTGAGGACATTCAAGTAAAGACGAGAGTACATGCCCTTCCCTGGGCCTCCTGCTGAAAATGATCCTCCCCCACCCATCATGGTGTTCAGAACAGTGAATGCAAAGAAGTCTGGGTCATCATAGTGACATGTTTCCAATCCGATGGAGAGGTGGGCTAGCTCTGGCAGTGGGGTGGGGCCAGGGTTTATCCTGGGTTCAGCTCTATGGTCCTGCCAAACAAAAAAATCATTACTTACTGGATTAGTCAGGTTAAGAACACCCTCTACAGCAAAAAATACCTCTTCAGTTAAAAACCCTTTACACTGCCAGATCACAGTTCAAAAATCAAATCTAAACTAGGCTTTGAACTGAACCCCTAATATTTTATCCAGAGTATCATACAATACCCCTTTCCTTTGTCTTTGCCCAAGCTCACAAATATAACGGGAACATTGGTAACAACTACCCCAAGAAATAAAATCAGAATAGGTCCATGATACTGTAAATTTGTAATAGGCCAATTTTCATCCTTGACTTTGTAATCTTCTCAAAACCTTTTTCTAACAAGAGTCACTTCCACTCTCTTTTTCTCTGGTAAACCAGAAGGTTGGGAGCAACTCATGGAACCTATACAAGATGTTGAGTGCACCTTAATAATGCCTCCAGTGTACTGAGCAATAGATTGATCAGGACTTGCAGATTTCTCTCCTCCTTTATGCCACACAGGTGGTTTCTTAAAAAAGTATTCATTTGTCAAGTCTATTAGATGTTGATGGTCCACATTGACTCCTGCAATAACCATTCTTGATGGCTGATAATATGTCCTTAAGTAGTCTTGCAAAATTGAAGAGTTGAACTTTCCTATATTCTCTGCTGGACACAACTTAGGGAGGCCTAGTGTGTTATCACGGAAAGCTGCCTAAACAGAGAAACATAAGCAAATATAAACAGTTAATAATTTCATAGAGAACTACTACTTGCCACTTAACTCCACAAGATACTTTGTTATACAAGCATGTGTGTACTAGTGAAAATGGTGCAAGACAGATGCTATCTATCATAACTGGCTCAATTTAACTGGATGATGGAAAAACAACTTTGAAACACATAATTTTGTTTTCTGAGGAAGGGAACGTCCATAACCCCACTTCTATTACTTTGTAATGGTTAATAATAGTATGAAATAACATTAACTTCATTCACTATGAATTAGCATTCAGATTCTTGAACAACCCTGGGTTAGCTGAGCTATTTTAGATGGTCCACCCACCCAACCTAAAAAACACAACTAAATTATCAAACTCAAAAGAAATGAAAAGAAACCAAATAATTATGTAAAAAGATCAAAGATTGTTACAACAAATAAGTAACAAATGGAAAAACAGATAAAAAGGGTGAAAATGCCTAGAAATTTGAATGAAGTGCAAATCAATAACCAAGAATGAAAAAAGGAAATTAATGTATTAAGGGTACTTTCTTTAACTCATGAAGTTGGTTCAGGATACCATTCCATATCCTTAAATCTATTCTGGCATTGAAATCAACATATTTCCTTGAAAAAGTAACCAGGGGGTTTATCAAAAATTTTGGCTAAAAAGGAGGGGTGCTTTTTGGAAGGAGGGCCCTTAACTGAGGGAGGCACTTATTAAGTAACCATTAAACTGTACTGATTCCAATATGGTTGAAGCTTAAAAAATTGTAAATAAAGTAGAAATAGTAACAGGTTTCCTGTATCCCTATCAATTTTGAAAGTGAGGGGGGTGCTAGCAGTGACACTGGCAACAGTATATGTTAATCCAACTTACAGCATGTATCATGTCTGTAAGGACAGGTTCTGGATCAGGTCTCATTTCTATGTTTTCAAGTTCAAATTGCACAACCATCTTTTGTTCTTCAATCTACAAGTAAACAAAAAGTGGAAAGACCATGTAACAATTTGTACTATTTGAACAATCTAACATGAGCTAAATCCCTTGTCTTTATATCAAAAGTGTTACTGTTGTCCCAACTACTTGGTATTTTCACGTTTTCTAACTTAAATTCTGGGAGCATTAGGAAATATCACTACTTATGATTGAGTTTAGTTTAGAAAGTATATTTACAATCTCTATGGAATGTATGTTTTCCTTTGAAAAAATTAAATTCAGTGTTCTCTTGAGTCTTCCAACACAAGATTGAACAATGACTTCCTTTGCACTTGGTGTTCATACCTGTGTTACTAAAATTCTAATGCATGTACCAAACCACTACCATGCCAGAATTAACACTGGATGAGGACTGAAACAAAAACCCTGTTACATTTGGCTTGGAGTTAAACAGATATTCAAATGGTAGGATTTTCTTCATTGTATTAGACAATCATGTATTAACTATCAAATACAATTACAGTGATCAGCTTTATTTTAATAATCAGTAATTATTACCTCTTGGTCTGTAAGTCTGGGTTGAAGTACACCCTCAGAAAGAACTTTCATCACTGTTGGCAGGCCACTTGTAAAGCAAGATGACCCATAAATAATGGCATCCCTGTTGAAATAGGAATTTGGAAACATTATTTGAAAGTGAGAAATAATTTATTGCCAAAATTTACATTTTCAATTCATCTATTAAAACGGACGATTTTCCATTTATATATGGGTTCCTCAACTATAAATACCACAAAAGAGATATCATTATACTAAGTTAATTTAAAATCGTGCCATCTCTTTTAAGCACATTACAGCAAAAAGTTTTGGTTGGGCTCAGGAATCTTGTTCATTATAATACAGAATGAACGATAGAATAAAGAGGTTCAACACATACTGGTTTCCCTTAAAGAAAAGCGTGCAACGTTTTTCTTGATTATGGCTTAAGTTAAATATCTGTCAAAAATTTCAGTACACCTGAATGACGAGCAGTCTGCCATGCCTCCAAACTTCTCTAACTCTTGTGTGAAATCATCATTATTCTGGAATTCTATTGTGCTCTACAGGAAAGAGGAGAAAATGTCAATGTGGTTTAGGGTTACGAGTTAAATAACTTTACTTGGTAGGAAACAAGTATGCAGCTGTGTACCTGAAAAGCCAGCTTCTCCAATACGTGTGATAAACCAGCAGGGTAATCAACCTCATATCTTGAGCCCGCGTCAATAACAACTGAAACAGACCACAGAAATAAACAGGAACCAGTCTATTATGATAATCTTGACAAGGGTAGTAATTTTAGGACAATGTGGTTGCTTGAACATAATAACCAAAACTTGCAGAATTTTATTCTTACTTTGTTTCCAAAGCCTAAAAATGATGTAAAGATGTAAACTAAGTCCTAAATTACCTGGAGAGACCTCAGTCTGCAGGGTTTGATCTAAAATTTTTTGATACTGAGTCGAGTGGGCTGATCATTTGGGCACTAAGTTTCCAAACTTTTTTGTCCTGTTCATCAGGATAACATTCTCAACATTCTGGCCCTCTTCAATAAACCCCTGTCTAATTTTGATCTAATATTAATTCAGCTATGTCAGATAATACTTTTCCCCCTAAAAGCGGGAACAGTGGAATGAAAGAATTGCGGAACAGTGGAAAATCACACCAAATTCTAAAAGACAGAACTATAAACACAATATTTATAGGAGGTAACCACTCAATAGTCCCTTTTACAGTTGTGGGCTTGGTGGCCAAGCCTTTGAACAGGAGTGAGGCTAAGGGTGACCTTGTTATGATAGAGATGTTGCTGCTTTTCACATGCAAATTACTTTGTTATCATGCTAACTAGATACAGGTCTTTATCACAACAGGGTCACCCTTAGCCTCACTCCTGTTCTAAGGCTTGGCCACCAAACCCATAACTGACAAAGGGACTATTCGCCTACGACCAATCTCACCTACGCAAAGTTACCTACGACTAAAGGTGAACCTGCCTATGTAGGCAAGTTTGTTTACTAAATTAGGCAAGTTCACAATTGAGTTTGTGAACTCAAAATAAAAAAATAAACATAAATATAAACATAGATGTTTATTTCACTTGCGTGGCACTTAGCAAAGAAGGCGAGACTTTTTCAACTTTGAAAAGGATATTGTTTTATGTCCCTTGCATGGCACTTAGCAAAGAAGGTGAGACTTTTTCAACTTCGTTAGGATATTGTTTAATGTCCCTTGCACCGCATTTAGCAAAGACGGTGAGACTTTTTCAACTTCAATAGGATATTGTTTAATGATACGTATACAAACCTGTCAATGTCCCACGCACAACACTTAGCAAAGAAGGTGAGACTTTTTCAACTTAAGTAGGACATTGTTTGAAGACCTTAATGATACTGAATTGAAAACGCCAATAATGTCTGCCAATCACATTGCTACAATTTCAATTCATCCTCAAATTGACTGACTGCTATAAAAAGGGCTGTAGTTTCTTGTTCATTTCATTCCACTAAGCTTTACGGAAAACTCTCGCGACAATAATCATTAGAAATGAACAGGTTTTATTGCATCTTCTGCACCAAACAAGTAATGTCTCACCAAGAGGCACTGTTTTGTGTTGGCTGCGACAGGTGGCAACACCAGTGTTGTGAAACGGGGATCACAAGGGACCAGTGCAGGGCTTCAGGAGAGGAAGTAATTTGGCGATGCCTGTACTGCAGTGACAATTCCACAGACCATTCCATCCCAGTCGCATAGAGCACACAACTTGGATTCGAAGAAACGGACAACTTCAACATCCGTGCATCATTTGAGGACTTGAGTTCACTAAACCTTTTTTCAGATGACAAAACCCTCCTGTCACTTGGAGACCCCCGTCCAGAGCCAGTAGAAGTACCAATGGAGATGTCATTGAAAGAGCCTGAGCCTGTCCCTTTCCCTCCACAGCCTGACGTTCCCACCTCTTCATCTCGTGGAGGAAGGTTCACAGAGAAGAAGAACCAAACTGTTTGACGGCCTGGGTTTCTCTTACAACGTGCGTTCCAAGAGACCTTACGCAACCTACTGGCTGTGTATGGTATGTCCAAAAGGAAACCAGTGCAAGGCCACTGTCATCGAGCGTGATGGTGTGTTCACTGCAGGTCAGGCCGCCCACAACCATTCCAAGCAGATTGGTGCCTATACTGCTGCTAAGATTATTTCCACGGTACAACGAAAAGCAGTCACCGACATCTTCAAGCCAGCTTCAACAATTGTTGACAAGGTATAATGACACAGTACACAACAGTAATTACTCCTTTTACTGCAGGTTATCACGTTAATGCAAGTTAACCAGTAACTAATTTGATAACCGCTCTTATAAGGCTTGTTTTACTTCTTTGAAAGGTCCTGGTAGAAGAACTCAATGCACCTTGTCCTGCCCTTCCCAAGCCTGAAAACATTGCTTAAGCTGCGATTCGCCTTCATCAACGACTGCGGCCAGTGAATCCACGTGATTTAAACTTCAGCATTGAAGAAGATGCCTTTCCTGTAGGCTTCTACAAGGGGGAGGTCAGGGTGAAGGAACAACGCCACCTGATTTTTGCGACAGGTCAGCAGCTGATGCAACTCGCCGCCAGCAAGTCCTGGTATGTGGATGGAACATTTAACCTCGTAAGCTGTCCATTCCAACAGCTCCTTTCCATAAACACATTTGTGTTCAAGTGGTTGTGCCAAACAAGTACCGCTGGTATTCATCATGATGCCCACTCAAAGGAAAAGTGATTACAAGAAGGTAAAAGATTTATTGTCTGTAACTGAATGTGTGATGGTCTGACTCAGGTTAGAATCGGAACTCTCAAAGGATATGAGAGAGATATCAGAGATATGACTCAATTTTATTATTTTATTTCAGGTTCTGCGAGAGATAATAAATTTGCTTCCCAGCAAGACCACTGCAGTACAACAGGTGACTGTGGACTTCCAAGAAGGCTGTGGTCAGACCTGAGAACTGCTCTCCCAGACATCCAGATTCGGGGCTGTGTCTTCCACTGGACACAAGCAATATGGAGAAAGGTAAATAATAAGAATATGTGACCATGTTTCTTTTTAACCCATTGCACAGCCTTTTTGATGTACTTTGTTGTAGCCCCTAACTGATAATATACGACTGTGTTTGATTTTACCCGCTACCTGACCAACCTTATACTGACTTACTCAAAATTGTGGCTCTAATAGTGGCACTAATTTGTTTTTATAGGTCCAGGAGCTTAGGTTACAAGTGGTTTCAAATACGGCCTGTTCGTCTTCCACACTGTGTGTCCATAATTCTTGTCGGTGTAATTTATCATTGTCCAAAAGCAACATCTGATGATGCTAGAAATTCCCCCTCAGTATTGAATTACATCGTAAATGATATCAACTCTTATGCATGTCAGAATAACATGCGCCTCAATCCGCGTAAATGTAGAGTCCTCATGGTTGACTTTCTTCACTATAATAGTTGTGTGCCCATGCCAATCATGGTCGGCAGATCCCTTGTCGAGAAAGTTCCATCGCTTAAACGACTCGGTGTTCATGTTTCGGAGGATCTTACGTGGATGGTGCACATTGACTGGTTGGTGAAGAGGGCCAATCGTAGACTGTTTGTGTTAAGGCAGCTGCGTAAGTGTGGCATTCCACCTGAAGACATCATTGCCATATACTGTGCACTTGTAAGATCTATATTGGAGTACACGTCAGCTGTGTTTGCTGACTTGCCAAAGTACCTGGATAACGCACTGGAAGATGTCCAGAAAAGGGCTCTTTCTATTATGTGGCCTGACCTTCCATACGAACATATGCTTGAAAAGGCCGCCATTCAGACCTTGTCGGTGCGCCGCGCAGCTGCATGCAAGCAGTTTATTCGTAAAATTCGCCCAGGCCATCCCTTATACCCCCATATTCATGAGCAGGTACTTCACAGCACAACGCAAATGTGTCTGTGATCAGGCAAATCTTCTCACCGCACACTTGTCAGAACTGAGCGTTTTAAAAATTTCGTTACCGTTAAGTATCAACCTTTGTAAAGTATTGTGTGTAATTATTTATTTAGGTTTCCAGTGCGTATATTTTTAAAACTGTACCAGTAATTCAGCCTTAGGCTGCAAGTGGTCCAAAATAAACTATATTACTATACTATTACTACTACTACTACACTGAAGACAAAGGCACCTATGAGTGGATGAGGAAGTTGTTAGCGCTTCTTTTCTTGCCATACACAGAAATAACCATGCAGTTCGAGCGCCTACACCTTGGAGCTGAGGGTGCACGTAAAGAGCTGGCAGAATACATTGCATCACAGTACAATGCTATATTCCCCATGAAGGACTGGTCCGTCTTCATGCCGCCAGTCCGGACATATCATGACATTGAAGGCTGGCATCACGTATTGAATCGACGTGCCAGCAGCCGCTGCAGCCTGCCATTCTATGTCCTCATACAGTTACTCAACCGAGAAGCAAGGCTGGTTGAAATCCAGATGTAACTGATTGACGACCACAAGCTGATGCGTATCCAGCGGAGGAAATATTGTGTTCTGCAGACCAAATTGCATGATCAGTGGGAGCAGTACCAGTCAAGAAGAAAGGCAGCAAGGCAGATTTTGAAGTCTTGTTCAAAACTGTATGGGCCAACTCGCATACAGTAAACAGCTGTGTCAACACAACAAAACAGATCCAAAAAATATTCCTTGTATTGAGATATTAAGCATAAAATCAGTAGGATAGGATATTCAGTAATTTTCCTTGTATTGTATTCAGATATTAAGCAAAAAAAAAATACTCCTTGTATTGTAAATAAAACCTTCAGATGTAAATAAAGCGGTTTGTATTATGGCGAGTAGGTACTTCATGTAATTATGATTTTAATACTCAACAAACTGGGCAATTCACTCATTCACTCATAAGTGAACTTATCTAAGTGAACTATTGACGAAATTCAAGAACATTATAAAGAATGCCAAGATAACGTTCACATGACCAAGAAAACATGCTATAATCACAAACATTTTCCACTTAAAAGGCATGCATTACTTGATTGAACTCGCCTGCATGAGGAGGCAAAGTCATCTACGTAGGTGAGCTGAACAGTTGTAGGCAGGTTTGTTCATAGGCGAGTTTTGTCGTAGGCAATTTGACCATAAAGCTTATAGGGGTAGGTGTAAGGAACATAACATACATCTTTATTTAACGAGGGTAACACATTAACTTACAAAAGTTTTCTAACAAATGGCCCTCACATATATACACAGTACATTTTACAATCATTGTATCATTACAATTAATTTTACATTACAGATTTTAATATAATTCACACACAAAAAAATATATGACATTCATAAAAAACACGAATCAGTTTGAATAGCAATTACAATGTAGTAAAAGAACTCCAGTCTTAAGGATTTTGCTGAAGACGTGCAGTGCTAAGCCACAAAGTGACGAGAGAGAAGAGAGACACCGGAAATAAGAGACAAGATGTTCAATCGTTCTTACCCGTGTTCACCCAGTCACGCGTTGAGCGTCCACTAGTTAGACGCCTGACAGTCAGTGTATTTCAGATCCAGATTGCACGTGCATGATTTCCATGAAGCATGTCTACATCGTCATATCTACATCGTCACACACCTGCAGAATCACGCTCTAATTTTGCCAGACATCATTTTGGTTACATTTATTCTTAACTTACCACCAACTGTAGAAAATTGTCCAAAAGAGTCTTCTGACGCAACTCTGATGCCATTTTGCAGGTTAGTAACGTGCGTTACGTGATCATGCCGGTTTTGCCGGTCTGTTCCCCCGACCATGCCGGGAGCTGGCAGATTGGGCAGAGGCTCGTTAAGTGGAGGGATCGTTCCGTTACTGAAAACTCTTGTCCGTATTGCATATCTAAAGGTTCTATTTACGCTATGAAATGATCTACAACCTTGAAATACTGGCACGAAACTCCTTCCGGCCATCTTCTCTTCTTAACATTGCGGGCCCAATATTTTGCAGCAGTTGAGTTGAAAAGCCGCTCTTTTATTCAGTAAGATAACACGTAGTGTCCTCTTGATAAAGCGTAGAGATGCAACTGGAAGGGGTTAACTCAAAGTCAAGCTAAGGTCATCATAGGGCATCTACACATCTGTAGCTGCGGGTAACAATGCTTTCTGTATAAATTCCCCTATTGTTTTTCTCTGTAAGGCGGATTGAAACTAAGATCACTTCACAACAAAGTATTTTTGCATTCTCAGGGGTTCCAACTAGAGTGTTAAGTGAACTTCTAAGAAGAAACAGGCAGAAAAAATAATTACTATAGAATCTCGATTATCAGTTTGTTGAGAACTTCTGATAGGGTGGGGTACAAGTACCACTCTCAACTCAGTTCATTTTTATGGAAGCTGTGAGTTCCTAAAGGAACCATTATGCTGCATCAATGGACAAGAGAAACACCAAACTTATCAACAAGTTAAGGTTGATAAAGATAGACTAAATAGTGTAGCAAATTTAAAATTTTCGTGAGCTGACCCATCTGATCTGAGCTTGATTTACACATTCCATTCTGGGTTATCCCTTGAAGTAATACATGTAGCCCTGATCCATTACCAGTTTCTGTGACATAGTAAAGATTATTTAAGATTATGGCTATGAAAACAACAAAATACTACATTTCATTTTGAACCAATAAGTTTTTATTCAATTTATTCAAATAATATATAATTAACTTGAAATGACTGAATAAATTTCCCAGAATGGTAGTGTTAAATTGTATCCATGTAGAAGAGTAAGTCACCAAACCACTTTTGTTCAAAGTCAACAGAATTTGTTACACTTTTTGTGGACAACTCCTAAAAAACAAAACAAAACAAAACAAATTGCTGGCCACTAGAAAACATTTATTTAGAGTTTGACAAATAAATTAACCCAAGTCAAAGGACCACTTAATTAAAAAACCAACCAGCTTCAGTTTCAAAAGTGGAGCTTAAACAGGTAGGATGAGAAATTTAATTTACCCTTCTGAAACTATTACCCACATTACAAACCTTGGCTTTGTACAGGATAATTAACGGCATATTTCTATCCGGAGCAGAATTCACAAGTTATGTTTAATTCAGTGGTCTTTAACAAATATTTTGTTCTACATGCTTGTTTTTTTTTTTTTTCTCTCCTTTTCTTTTCTTGATATTTTTACATACCTTCTTCCTTCCCAAACTATAAAAGCAAAGCAATCACCTTCAATTTTATATCATCCTTTTCCTGGTCTAATTGCATTTGTCCACTTGCAACAACAGAACTGTAAAGCATCTGATTAAATCAAAATAATAAACAAGGTATAACCAATTAAACAAATTATTGCACAACAAATATAGAAATGGCTACTTGATCTGATCAAGGACGTTACAGAGACCAAGAAATTTACATGTTAAATTTGAGCAAAAGTGTCACTATTTTTTTGTTATTGATTAGATTGCATATTAACTGTTAACTTTTTTAAAATTACTTTCACCAGATCCCCATTTTATGGCTACCCTGTAAATAAAACCAATATTCACTGTGCCATTACCAAATTAAGACAAAAATTTAACCAAGCCATTATTACAACCCTGCATGTTAATATGCCCTGATAGCGATATGTCACAGTTCCACTTTACCTCCAAGACTTTGTCAATCAACTGGGCGCAACCACATTCTGCATGAGTGGCAATCTTGCTATTCACCTAGTAGTGATGAAATCAAGAGTATACATTTACTTCTGATCAGTAGTCATACTTTGATAATCTCCATAAGACCATGCAACTGAAATACTGGTATTTATTGTTCTATACCACTGCCAATCATTAACCATGGTAATGATGACCACTCAGAGACTTCTTATAGCACACAAACAAAATTGACCAAACTTATCTCACTTGCAAGTCCTGGTTATCATAGTTACAAAATACTATTAACATTTTTATGATGGCCAACTGGTAACCTGTTGGTTATATGTGTTGTTTCAGTAACCAACAGTTGACAGACAGTCAGCTCAGGGGAGCTGTTCTTTACCAAACTCTGATACATTAATGATATTTCCTGTTTGATAGAAGCATGTCATAATATTGTAAAATACCTTCCAACAATATATTTCAGGATTACTTTTTTAAAGGTGCAATAACAGTAAGCTAGAAGCCATTTAATGGATTTTTCATCAGTTTAGAATTTTGATATTTGTAGAATACAAGTTAAAGTTAAACCTCTGTAAGAAGAGTGCTACTTTTTTCCTTTGCAAATGATGAAGATGCTTCCATAGATTTTTCAAGGAAGAACCTAATTTAAATGAAAAAAAAAAACATGTTGTAAATGTTATCATGATTTAAAGAACATCTTCAATCATTAGAGTTCACAATAAACAATATACAGTGTATGAAACAACTGCTAACCATCTCCCTGTTGCTGATTTGCAATGATCACATGACATGAAGAGCAAGTAAAATGAACTATTATTTCACCTAGTTTTAACAAGAGAACCAAAAGAAAGAACATGATTCCTCCATTTCAATCTTTTTCGAGCACATTCCTCCTGCAGAGATTTTTCGTTGCTTGAAAACAAAGCTAGAACACTGTCATAGTCAAGTGAATCTGGACATACTTTATGTAAACAAGAGAGAGATTGATCTTCAAGTTCCGCTTTTTTATCTGCCCGAGAAACAGGAGAGACCTGCCCTTTAAAGTCCATATTTTCCATGTGATGTCTAATCTGTCTTTCACCCATGCAGTAAGGTTCCCTTGGTGTCAGATGTTGTGTCTGGTTTTCAGTTGAAAAGTAGTGGCATTTTTTTGTACATGTATAACACCCTTCTCGAGACTGATATTCTCCATTCAAAGACATTTTTGTACAGTTTTCTACAGCTGGATTGTGCTTCATGCTACAAATTCTTTCCCCCTTAACAATTGTTACATCTTCATCCTGACACAGTTTACAGCTGCTAACAGATGCCTTTTCATATGCCAGGGCTAAAGAGAACCAAAACTGAACATTCCAGGAGTGAAGTGCTGCACATCTTTGAAGAGTTTCTATTTCACCTAAACAAATAAAAAGCTTGTAAATAGTGTCACAGTGTAACACTGAAAATTCAGAGCAAATTACCCAACTCAAAGGCATTTTTGCTGGGGCACATTCCATCATGCCTTATAATCTGTAGCCAGTACCTTCGGTATTTCCCATGGCTCTATAAATTTGGAAGAGTAAATACCAATATGATGATTCTTTTTCTTGGTTATCATGCTGTTTGGGACAATAAAAGGATAATTGCTCATTGAGTTATGATAATAATTTTGAGCTGGGAAAACTTTTACAAATTCAAATAACTATAATAGCTTCTAGAACAAAAATCTCTGTTGAAGAGGAAACAGATTTATAATTAGACTGATTACTTTTTCATTCACATGTACTGGAATTTTCGTGTAGACCCCTTTACAAATCAAACAGATACTGTTCACTTTACACCTTGATGATACCCCCAGATAAATGACAATTAATCAAACTAGCTATCAACTACCAGGCAGTTTAAACATGCTCAAATTCAAAGTGATAATTGATGACATCTTTTCCCATTCCATTTCCAGGATAACAATACATGATAGTTTTTTAGTCAACTGTCCATAACTCACAAAATTGCTATCAACCAGTGAAGAGGAAAGCCAAATTAAGTAAGATGAATATTTTAACAATAAAAAAGCTTAGACGTATATGAGAACGATCCTTCGCAGTAAAGCACTATTTGAGCAATAGTGGAAATCAGACCTGAAAAAAATTTCAGGCCTGTACGGGATTCGAACCACTGACCTCTGCGATACTAGTGCAGCGCTCTACCAATTGAGCTAACAAGCCAACTGGGAGCAGGCCATCAAATTAATCATCTACGGGTTTATATCGAATTAATTTGATGGCCTGCTCCCAGTTGGCTTGTTAGCTCAATTGGTAGAGCGCTGCACTAGTATCGCAGAGGTCAGTGGTTCGAATCCCGTACAGGCCTGAAATTTTTTTCAGGTCTGATTTCCACTATTGCTCAAATAGTGCTTTACTGCGAAGGATCGTTCTCATATACGTCTCATAACCGCAGTTCACACATATGTTTCATATGTTTGTTGTTGTTTAAAAAAGCTTAGAGTAAAAATAGTCAGTGGGAAGAAAAATTAAAAAAAGATGCAGAGAAAGCAGTGAAAGACTGCCTGTAGCATGAGTTGATATTGACAAGAAAAGCAAAACATCAAAAAGACAGGTGTGCAAGCTGTGCAAGCACACTTTGCACTTTCCATAATCTACATGTATCAACTACCATGAACCCCTTGATCCCATACAAGATATTCAATAACAGCTGAAATTGGCAACATATAGTAGAGTACCACAACCATTTCAACTTCTTTCACAAAACTTGTTAGCTTCTTATCCTTACTAATTTATTCACAACATGTACTAATGATAATTTTCAACCAATAAATACTACTTTAAACTTACTGTATAGTCCTTATTTAACTAGGTCTGATTAAGTTAAATTTTCCAAAACTAAGTTACTCACCATTATCCCCTTGACAAGAGATAAGGCATCATCAGGCTTATCTAGTTTCAATAAACACAAAGCCATAGACTCTGTTAACTCCCATTCTATAACTGTATTATTGGATGACAAACACTGCAGAGACTCTTGATACATGGAGAGGGCTTCAGAATACTTTCGCTTTTGAAACAACAAATCCCCTCGGTACTTCATCATAATCTGTTTCTCTAATTGATCATTCTTCACATGGAACTTCATAAACCACTGCAAAAAGGAATATCCAAAAGAAAATCATTGTATCTACTAACAACAAATCAGAGGGCAGAGCTAAAATAATACATTTAAAATTTTTCCAATAAAGCCTGTCAAATTTCTGGTGCAAAATATTGACATCACTTATCACTGAAAATTTTAAAAATTAATCTGGTGAAAATCCACTGGAGCAACTGCACATTACAGGGCCACTGAACCTTATCGGCATGCTCTGAAGAACGAGGCAGAACACAAAAGGATTTATTGTAATTCAATGAGATGTAAATAAGTTGCCCTGTATCGTGCAGTTTTACCTTATTTCTGTCAATATACCACAAAATGGTCGGACATTTAACTCTTCGCGCATGATTTCGTTGCACCGACTGCTTAAAGATGAAAATTAGTCACTAATCAGATTGCAGCTTTTGTAATGAAACGCTAGATGTATACTAAAATAATCTACTGCCAAAGAACTACATGCAGTTTGGTATAGTAAAAATCTAACATGCTACAATGGTCTCGAGAGTTAAGTTACGTTGTACTTTTACGCAACGTCAGATCGATGACACTATAGGATAGGTGCAAAGAAGTGTAATGGAAGAAATCTCTGATTTCAAATAAGAACTTTCATATGTTTCAAGAAACAAATGGCTACATGAAATTATGTCGGTCACGTCTCAGTAAACCGTTCTCTTCTTTGATCGTAATGACCGTCTGTGTCCCTCCTGAGTTACTGTATACACACCTTGGAGTCACACTGCTTTGGTTCGTATGCCTCTTTAACCCTGACTTCCCTACAAGTTGATTTTCCAAAGATTTCGTCGTCGAAATCAAATCCGACGTCCCTCATCATGTCCATACCACCGACTCCATTCATTCGTGAGTACTACACAACATGTGTATAAAAGATGCAGATGATTGCTGGCTCACTTCCTGCGGAGGGAAAAACGAAATTTGAAGAATTCGAATACATGTAGAATAACTTTTCCCACGTCTGATTTGTGGTGTGATCTTTGGCGTTTGCTGTTTTTTAGAAGAAACAGGATGAAAAGAACATTCCCAAGGGCCAGACAGAAATCAATCATCAAGAAATATCAGAAGAAAGCAAGGCTATCACGAAATGTTGACATTTTGGTGAGATACGATCAGTTCTCTCAAAACTTATACAGGGAAGATCGATGCAAGTGGGGAACGTGAACTTTATATCACATCTTTTCCTTCAATGCAACTTCCAATATCTCTATCTTTATTATAAATAAAAAAAAGAGTCAGTTACCCCACAACAAACGAAAAAATATTGTGGTGCAAAATTACCCAGGTTAAAAAATTGTATCTAGTGAAAAATTAAATTTACCTTTAGAAAAAAAGTTACCTGCAACATATATATTCTTGCTACATGTAAGTGGAGACGATTTGGATAAATTTTGGCCTGTCGAGGGAAAAATTAAAAGAAGAATTTAAATAATTTATTGAACTGAAATTTCAACCTCCTTGGTGAGTTGCCATCCAAAACTCTATAGGGAAACCTGCTTGTGTCATGATAAACTTCGTTATTTTAGTGAATTCTAGAGTCTCTCTCTTTGGTGTGACTACTTTCTTCTTGCAGATTTTTCTAGACTACCTACTGTTTCTCAAACGACTTGCAGCAGAGGCAAATATAAAAGTACAGGAGGACAGGGAGAGGACCTTAAAAAGTTATCATGTCAACGCTGTGTTTAAGGTCAGTACTTGAAATAAATGCCACACTTCGATTTGGAATTATTTTACAAACTGTATAACCTTATTTTAGTTTCTCGAAGTCATTGCTCAACTTTTTTTAATTTGCAGAATGTGTTGAAGAGTTGCAAAGGATGATGATGATTTGTAAATAAAGCGCCTTCACCATGAAGAAGTTCCATTGTGAAGGCTTCATGTATCAATTGCTATGATGTGGCTACAATCATTTTGAATCTCTGTCAAGTTACTGATGGTTTGCTTTTCTTGTAAAGTTCAGGAGACATAAAATTAGTTTTTGTTTTCCATGTTCAACCATTCACAAGGAAATAATCCAAAATTTTTATCCTTCTGGTCGACTGTAAAGCACGTTGTATCTTTCAATTTAAATTCAATAAAGATATTTATTTAAGATGTGTACTCTCTTGCAAGTCTAGTACATGGTATTTGTGCAGTGTACCATATTGTTTTGTTATCAGATACCAATTTGTCACAAGAACAAAGTATCCTCTAAGGTCTGCCTTGCTCCCAAAATTTGACTTTGTAACTCAATTGGCATCTGGGGTTTTACCTTTATGTAAGAGGTCTATTCTCACAACTTTGTCGCTTCTTTCACAAAAAGGTATTTTGCCCTTTTTTGAAAAGGGTAACAACACTTTGATTACACTCAATACAGCTAAAAGTTGGTGTTGACCTGCATAAACAAGATGACTTGGTTTATTTGGGTAAGGTTTATTTTGGTAAGGTTTATTTGTGTAAGGTTTACATGGGTAAGGTTTATTTGGGTAAGGTTTATTTGTGTAAGGTTTACATGGGTGAGACCAGAAGACCCATGAGCAGAACAGGGAAGGAGCATGATTGCAATGTGCCTTTCTGTTGAGAACTAGTCACTCATAAAGGTAGATCATACATCTTTACTATACTTCCACATCAGAAGTGAAAACATTGAGAGGGGGCCAAGAGTATTTTATTACTATCACAATCATTATTCAATTTCAAGTAATTGAATAACCATGACCTTTTTGACAACAATATGCTGACCGTATTTATTGGAAAAAAAAAAAGATTCTCTTTTCTGGAAAACTCTGGAGTTAAACTCTAGTTACTAAAAGATTAATTACAAAAACCCAACAACCAACAAACATATTTACCACATCTTTCTAATAAATTAGGATTCAAATGCAGATGAAAGATACATGCATTTCTGTATTCTCTATCAACCTTACCTAAATATATGTTGTATTACTCCATTCTGTTTCATTTGTCAGTCTGCCTTTTACCAATTGCTACTTTCTATCTGAATATTCTTATTTCTATCACAAGCAGTTTTTCTCCCCAACAACCAGTCTTGTTGGATTAACTGTTGAGGATTCATGCACTTTTCCAGTCATTTATTCAGCTTTCTAAAGAGTATTATTCTAGTATCACAGAATCATGATTGTGTATTAATACTGAATATTGTTGTCATTCCTGGTCAGTTATAACAGCTGGTCATATCAAACTGTTAATTGGCAACAGAGCAGGGAGAACAGAATCCACTCTATTACACCAAAAGTTTGCACATGTGCAATGATACTGTCGGCCTCCATATGTGAGCTTTCCATTGCTGTGTTTGGATGAATCTTGTAAACCCTTGTCAACATTTAACAGACAAATTCCACAAGCTGAGCGTCCATCTTCACTAACTGAAACATGATGGGTTGAGAAATCTAGACTACTCCTTGGTGGCTAACAGTGAAGAAAACAAAGAAAATATTGATAAGATAATGAATGCAAACAGAGACTGACTGTCATAGATAATTAAAGAGATTTGAGAGAGTAGTTTGTAGGTTTTCAAATCTCTAACAACATGAGCTAACAAGTCATACAAGCCATTCTGATTACCATCCACAACTATCTGGTTATCACAGATAACTGTTCCATTTCCCAAACAACTGTTTGTTGACCTAAAATAACTGTTTGGTTACCCTAGATAACTGTCTGTTACTGAGAAATTTGTCCAGTTACCAAACATAAATGTTTGTTTCCTACAGATAGTTGTCTGGTTACCCTAAATAATTGTCTGGTTTCCATGGATAACACTCTCTGTTTACCCAAGATAACTGTTCTGGTTGCCAACATGTTTGTCCAGTTACCAAAGATAACTGTCTGGTTCCTATAAATAGCCAACTGGTTACCCTAGATAATTGTCTGGTTGCCATGGATAACTGTTGACTTATTCAGCTCAGATTGCTTGTGCTAGGTTATCAGAATGGTGCTCAAGGACCTGATGATGATGATGATGATGATGATGATGATGACAATAGCACAACAATTTTTGTAACAAAACATGTCTAAAACTAGAAAGCAGAACCATGGTTGGCAACAAAACCACAGGTAGCTAGCTACAGGACTATGTGTTCTGAGGGTCTGGTTGTAATAAAATATAAAATATGTTTGGTTAGCCTCCCATAAAATTAATTACAGTTGTAATACTAATGGAATTTTAAAAAGCTTTGGATGGAATAAAATCCAGTCTCAACCATTTGATTATAGACCCACAAAGCTCAACAGTAACAACTAAAAGAATGCCTGTTACCAAAAGGGTGGAGCCAGAAAGAAAGTTTGCAATGTTTTTCCATGTGCTCTCAATCTCTTGGTGGATATCTCTCAGCTTCGTGTTATTTGGTGCTGAGGAAAGATGTGGCATTAAAAATTCAATGAACAGCAACTTGTTTGAGAAAAGAAAAACTCCAAAATAACTATATAAAAATCCCTCATTGTCACAACTTAATAACAAACCACGATATGCCTCCATCAGTACGATATTTGCTATAGATTATGCCTAGTAATGTGCCCATTAACTTTAATTTTAACAAGTATAAATCTTGGTTTTTTTCTCTGATTATATTTCAAACATGACAGTAGCCAACTCAAAAGCCTCAGCTCCTTTGGCTACGGTGCACATCCTCTTCCATTTATTAATGTTTATATATAAATAATATTTAAATAGTACATTTCTGTGATTATATATTTTGTATGTGTAACAATTCATCTGAACAGTGCAAATAAAGTTGAAAGTTGAAGTTAATAATTAATTTCTCTGCAGATATTAATTGCACTTTTAACAGACACTTGTTTCCAAATTCATGAGAAGTAGCTGCTCACAATGTCATCTCATTATTCTAAACCTAATAAGATCCACTTTTCCTTCAGCTTTGCAGTAGCATTTCATATATCAGATCCTATTATAATTAGTACATTGTGGTCTAAATATATATTAATCCTCATAATTTCATATATATTTTTCCTGTTTTACCTTATTTTATATACAACAATCACTTTGCCAATACTATACAAGCATTCTTTTAAATATCAGAAGAATGTCCAAGGAGCTACCTGATTTAGTTACTGATGCATTTATCCTTAGGGTAACTCTGTAAATTTCAACTATGGCTACAAGAGAAACAAAAGAACACAAAGGACTGAATGGAGAAATTCAGAGAATAATTGAGCTGGTATTTCCTCAAGCTGGCTGAACAAGGGGTAACAAGGAGTTTGTACTTGATCTAAAATTATTATTTACATAAGTACCCTTGAGTTGTACCAGCGAAATTGGATTACGAATCAATTGTGTAAGTAACAAAGTGCAAAAAACTCACTTAAAAATAAAAAAAATTGTCCACCAAAAAAAATCCTAATAACATCTGTTTAGAGCTGCATTTCTCATACTGTACACTTACGCACATGAATTCTTTTCCTATTTTCCTACATGATAGTGTACAATTGGTCTTGTGTCCTGTTTATATGACTCAGTTTTGTTTTATTTCTAAAGCATAAGATCCAAGTCACTCAAGAGTTTTTCTTAATGACCACACCTTGCTTGTAAATTGAACAGGCCAAATAAAAAAGTTTGGTCCTGCAACAGCTTATTAACCTATAAGTGAAGGCTGCTAGGAACCAATCACATTTGAGCATTCTGTTGTTAACACAATTTTGTCACTCTAATAAGTCCAAAAAAGTTTGAATAGTTTTATCACTTAATTGAATTATTATAATTTGAAGGCTTGGAAGAGACTTGATAATGTTGCAAAACAATTTTGCTGCAAAATCAGCTATTTTGACTCATTTCTAGTCTCTTTACCTCCTCCCTTTCTCCACTCAAAGTTTGCACCTGATGTACTTTATTTGATATACATCTATACCCTTTACCAAAACTATTTTTATACATTTCTATTCCAGCATGCAAAGGTACACCAACAAAAATACCTGAAAAATATGTGGCTCCTTCTTTGGACTCAAGGACTTCCTCCTTCACAGACTGCTCAACCATTTTCTGAATTGACAATGTAGCTGTTGCCAAGGTTAAAAGGCAGCTGTTAAGACAACGGCTCCATGCATTTGCATGTTGATCCACATCCTGAACAAAAAATATGAATTAACTTTCTTTTAGCTTTCAATAATAAAAACTTCTTATTAACCGAGAATAAGAGCTATATTGTGGAATAATGACTTGAGGTCGTAGCAATAGGGGCCAAGAGCCAAATATTCCTCAGTGTGGCTCAAGCAACCAAGTTAGTAATTAGTTATAATTAGACACAACTTATGATAGTTTCTGTGGAAATGGTTTGTATAGCAAAATCTTGATCAAGTAAGAACCAATATTAGAACAATCAAATTTACTCAAGATAAAGTCACTCATATTTTCAGCTGGAGATGATAACCAAATCCATAAAATGCTTTCAATGCATCTGGCCATGATGAATATTAAATCTTGTTTTGTATGTACAAATGTATCTCCTTAGGATCAAGTGGAGTGAGGTAGCAGAGGACTGATGTTGAAACCTCTTTGGTACTATTTTATGGCTGAAAATGAAATTAGTCACAAAGGGCTTGAACCAACACAGTGTACCATCTAAAGATGACCCCTTCAAGTATTATGATTAAAACAAACAAGTCAAAGATGTCTAAAGGAAATTAAGGCCTTTCTGTGCCCTCTAGAAAACATACTCAACTGAACTAACAATGAGTTGCTGAAAACATGTTTAGCGATGTTGAAGAAATGACTAAGCAATCAACTGATTCTAAAACAACAGTGCAAAAACTAGGCAACATACCCCAGAGTCATGTGAGAGGACCTTATAACGTTCTGTAGGCTCCAGTGACACTGAGTTAATGAGTGAGTCACTATTAGAAGTGGAACGTGGTCTGCTGCTGCTTTCACGCGATACACCAGTAACAAATGACCCAAAAGCCCCAAATTCATCTTGATCATCTTTGTGAGGTGTAGGTTTAGTCAGATTTGTGTTGCCAAATGAATTAAAACTACCAAAATCCTGATTATGATTTTCAATAGAAGCTGTTTTTGGTTGTTGACCCAGCTGAGAGTTGTCAAACACACCAAAGGACTGACTCTGTGAAGTGTTTGTAGATTTGAATTCTCCAAAGTCATCATTGTTCCCAGACTTAAATTGGTCAGCTACTTCAAAGCCCCCAAAATCAGCAAATCCATCATCTTCTGATGCAGCTTCTACTACTCCTGGCTGCTGAACACTGAAAATTCCTTCTCCAGAGCTGAAATCAGCATCTCTAATAGCACCATATCTGTCCTCAGGTTTGTCAGTCAAACTGGTAGTTTTAGGAGGGTCATTAACCAACAATGGAAAACCTACAAAACTACTCTGGTTTCCTTTGGACTCCTGTTTGGTATTATCCACCTGTTCTCTTCTTTCAGTTAATTTTCTTCCTCCATCTTCAAATCCTGGCAAGCTGTGACTTTTGACACCTCCAACACTAGATACCTGAGAATTAATGGAGAGTTTAAACTTCTCCAGCGATGATGTAAGCTTATTAGCACCATGATGACCAGAGCTTATGCCAGTTTTATTAGAAAACAGTCCTGGACAGGGTTGAAAGTTACCAGAGTCATCCATTCCAGTCAGGCTGTTGTCATCATTACTTAGTGTAGACTCAGAGGACTCACTGAGAGCTGCTGTGGGAAGTAATTTAACTTCCTTCACTTCACATGTCTTAACCTCACTGTCAAGGTTTCCACTACCTTTGCAATTCTTAAATTCTTGAACAGCAGTTTGTTGCTGGTCTTGCTGTTTTGATTCTTGCCAAGTACCAAAAATCTCAGATTGCTTCCCAGTCTGGAAATCACCAAAATCCTCCTCCATGGACTTTGGAGTAAGCATTGAAGCATCATTGAAACCTAGACTTGTTTGACTACTTCCTGTCTGGAAACTACCAAAATCATCTTCTTTTGATTGGCTGGAGTTTTTGTTCAACTCAGTTGTCATGCTAAGTAAAGTTGGTTTGCTATTGAATTCTCCAAAGTCATTCTGTTTTAGACTGTTATTCTGGTGAGCCTGGCCTTGGAAATCACCAAACTCATCATCCTGAGGATGAAAATGAAGTTCAAAATTTGAAAGAGGTACATATGCTCAAACACTGGCTTGGTTGGTTAACCACCTCCCGGTTAGCTCAATTGGTAGAGTGCTTGATTGTTGTGTGGGAGGTCAATTAAGGGTTCAAGCCCCAGCCAGACCAACACTCAGGGTCTTAAAAACAACTGAGGAGAATGTGCTACCTTTCTATAATATCAAGAAATGGATAGATATTCTAGTCTTCTCAGATAAGGACAAATAGATTGTAAGTCCTGTCTCCTGCAGGGTTAGGGGTAGCAGACCTTAATTTCCCATGCACGAGATTACTGTGCGGTGGATGTCCTCCCTTGGGATGGGATGGGTGGGAAGATAGCAGGTCCACATCAGCAAATAGCTGCCATAACTCAACCTGCTCAAACAAATAAAGATGAGATGAGAGAGACAGAGAGAGACAGAGAGAGACAGAGAGAGACAGAGAGAGACAGAGAGAGACAGAGAGAGACAGAGAGAGACAGAGAGAGACAGAGAGAGATGAGAGAGAGAAAGCTAATTCACGAATAACATATGCTTGTTACATTTTGCACATAAAGTATCATGAAGGTTTATTAGCTACCTTTGGAAATTTTTCTCCAGAGTTCCAGCCAAGAACACCTTGAAATAGAGGTACTCCACCACCTTGAAGCTTAACATTAACAGCAGGTGATTCGGAAGATTGAAATACCCCAAATCTTTCTTTGGACTCCATTGAAGGTAATGCTGCAGTGTTACTCGTATCAGGTTGAGAAACAGCTTTAAATACACTATACTTATCATTTGGGTCAATGGTCTGACTACTGGAGGCACTACAAAGATGTCCCATCGATATATTTTCTTCTAAAGATCCACTATCTTTGGACTCTTCATGTAATGACTCTGAGAAACTCCAGCCTCGCCCCTTATTCTAGTAGATGTTGAAAAAATGAAGTGAATCTGTTAAATTGTTTCATGCAACTTATCAGCTTCCTCTTATTTCAAACTAACATAAAATTATAAAGCCTCTCCACTATAAAAGCAGCAAAAAGCTGCTATAACTAAAAATACCAAATCAATTTGAGAATTCAATTCAGATAATGCACTGTTCTATTCACAGCTCTTTGACTAGAACATATAATGCAGTGTAACATACAGCAGTACCTGTAAAACGTCCTCAGGAATGGATGGAATAGGAGCAGCCTTGCAAGTAGCCAACTTCTCAAGAGTGAGACGTTCTGTTTTCAAACCAGCCTATAATTTGTCACAAAGGGTACCAAGATAAAAAATAATCGATACATTTAGGTACAAAAAAATTTAAATAAATTGTAGCAACAACAGAAGAAGAGCTAATGAATCTTTAATTCACTTCAAATATGTTTTGGCCACAGTAACACAGTTCAGGTAATGTATTGTAATAGAGGTAATATAAAGTACTGCACATTAAGTTACCAGACATGTCTAAGTAGATAAATTCTTAGCCTGATTTTTATAATCTGGAGTCGATTGCTTTATTCAACTGAAGATGAGTGAGCAAATTCAGACAGTCTGAAAATCAGGCCAGTTAATGGTAAATGAATATGACATATTATTGCTGATGTTTGTTAGCAGGCAAATGTATTTAACTTTTGGCACTTTATGTTTAGCATTGCATATGACACAATTTATGAATATGAAATGTGAAATATGAAGTCAGCTGGTGTCTCATGAAACTCTACAAACTCTGCTATGGGAACATTCGACATCAAAGAGACAATAATGGGCAGTTAAACCTAACCAAACTTCTGAACAATTTTCCTGACAGTTGGTTCATACCCAACCATGCTCTACATTAAACAGAGTAAAGAGAGAAGAATTTGTAAAACAGTTGAAACTTTGACATAATGGAGTTACACCATTGCCCCTTTGAATGATTTTGCTGCACTGAACAGACAGCTACATGAAACTATCTGCAGCTATCTGTTACAGTAAGGGCTCGATCGACACTAACTTTTCAACCTACTAGCCCGGTGGCTAGTGACAACTTAGATGTTACAACTTACAATTTCAGTTTGTTTTATTACTAGCCAAACTGGCCAGTAGAAATAAAAAACCACTAGCCAATTTCTGCTGGGCTGTGTCAGGCTAGCTAGTGTTAGTGTCAAGCCCTGTACAGTACTGTAAATCGTCTGAAATGGTTTTAATCATATCTGCAGAATATCTGCAAAGATGTTTGCAAATAATTATCTGACAGATATGTTGGGATTTTCAAACATCTGCAAAATTAATTATCTGTGTCGTTCCAAATCTATTAAGAAAGATGTATGAGAACAAAGAGTAAATTATTTGATGACACTGAAAACAAATGAGCATATACCTGACCCAGAGCAACCAATCCTAACACAATCCTCAGTTCCAACATGTTGAGCTGACCTGGAACTGCTCTATTAGCCTGGTTCCAAATGTGACCTAGCTGGTCACGGGGAAGATCAGAAGCCATGAGAATGGGAAACAAACCATTAGTGTCAATGAGGTCATCACATGCATTGCTTGTTTTCTCTGCTATCTGCTTATAAATTCCTGGTAGGTCTGTGCCATGAACACACCACTCAGGAAGACTTACACCATACAACAGCTCTAGTTTCCTTTCAGCTGTGTCTTCAGCTTCAGGAGCTGAAAGATACATAAAAAAACAATTACTTGAAATACTTTAAACAGTATTTTGTAGAGTGTCAAGATTTCCCTAGTCATAATAGTGCTAATGATCTACTTGTGGAAGCAGCGTGGCCGAGTGGTTAGGGTGCTGGACTTGTAATCCAGTATCCTGGGTTCAAGTCCTCCACCCTGCCACTCACTGGATTTGTTCTTGGTTGCCCCTAGTTCAACTCCTCGGCGGCTCTCTGTAAATAGCCCACTGGTCTACCTCCTGACAGTGGGGATTTTCAAGTACTTAGTTAGTCTACATTGTGGCTGAAAAGCCCCTAAGGGGGAGCTTCAATTAACGTATTTATTTTATTTATTTATTTATTTATTTAAGTTTGTCAACTTTGTGGCTTGATTGAAAATTTTGAACACCTAACTTATAGAAAATGTAATGTTTGATAATCTTGACTGAACTATACCTCATTCTTTATTATGAGACCCTCAAAAACTGTAAGTATGAACAGCCTTTTTCAGGACCTAAGATTGCCTTTTGTAAATGATAGAATTGTTTTAGGTCTACATCCTGATAATGGACCCTCATTATTCTGAAATAACAACATCAAATTTTCTTTCTGACCTGGTTCCTGGGTAGATTCTGTTGAATGTCGCTGCAATTTAGGCTCTGCACCAGGATTGGAGGGCTGTGATCCAGTTTCATCCCGATATTGGCCCATAGTAGATTGTGGTTTAATACTACCACCCAGGGCTAAATTTCTCATTAAGTGACTACCTTGCTGATTTCCTATGCCAATTTGATTATGAGGTGTGTCTGTTTGAGGCATTGTTCCTCCACTTGGTGTGTTCCTGGCAACATTGGAAAACATCTCTGGTGCACTATTCCCCACAAGCTGGGTCATATGACCTCCTTGAGTAGATGCACCATGTATGTTAGAATCTGCCCCAAAGTGAGGCATTTGGCTCCCTTTAGCAACATTGGATGGTCCTACCCATGAAGTTGCAAATGGAGCACCAACAGCTGCTGTTAGCATTCCATGCATAGATAAAGGTGTCGCCATATTTTGTGCTGGTGGAAAACTGTTGTGCTGAGTTTCAGTTGCAGAATTGGAAGAAAAAATGTTCCCGGATGGTTCTCTAATAGCACCATGGAGTGACTGAGTTTGAGAAAAAACATTCACATTGCCACTCATATTAGGAGGGGCTGGTGCACCTGATCCCATAGCAGGAAAGGAAGTACCTGTGGGTTTGATGAGTTGGACACAATGTTATAAAGTTTTGTCTGTGAGCCCTGTCTGGGATAGCAAAGTCTTTTTTTTCAGAAGAAACAGGCCTGAGAGAAGAGAAGAAGTTTTATTGAGCCACATGGTCGCTGAGCAAGACTGAAAATGGCAGCAACCATAGTTGAATTTTTTTAAAATTTTAAGACCACATTTGAAATGTTAGGTTACTCATTTAAGTCTGAAACACTGAAAGTGTTACAATTTCATAATCTCCTATAAATAATAGAGACATATGTAGTGAATAGTTTCTGGGGCATACTTCCCCTTCAACAAGGTCATACCAAGGTTATATGTCAAGGCATAAATTATTGGAAACTTTTTGTCACAAGGTTAAAAGGAACCATCAAACCCTTGAACTGAGTTTAATCAAGATAGATTTGAGGTAAAGTTAATACACCACATTATTGTAAAAGCAATGGAAAATGTTAAAATCAAGAAGAAAAAAGCAAACAAATTGTAAATTAAATTAATCAATAACAAACCTCTACCCTGTGCTACCGGTTGAGCTGCTCCCTGAAAGTCACTGAATTCTGCATTACTGCCACCCCCCTGAGATGGAAAAGACGGTCCTTGTGAAAAGTCCCCAAAGTCATCCATGCTACTTGCTTGACTCCCCTGAGGATTCACATTTCCTGAAGTCATAAATCCTGAACCCCACTGGCCTTGGTTGGGAATTGAAGACTGACCTGTGGCACTGCTACCAGGTCGGGAAACTGTTAAAATGGATAGTATATGGTGGAGTTAAGACAAGGTCAATATTTGGTATTGTTTAACTAGAAGTGAATTTTAAAGACAAGACAGTACTTACATATACTGGATGGTTTTTTTGATTGTGTCTTAGATTCTGACTCCTTGCCAAGGGGCCCAATTAAATCAGCAATTGATGAACTTCCACTATTTTTGTTTTTACCAAACAAGCTGTTTAAAGCATCTGGGTTTGACAACCTTTTAGTAGTAAAAGACTCCTGACGTTTTAGCTGTTGAGCCTCAAATTGCTTTTTCTTGATTAGTTCCTGTTGTTTCTTAGCATTTTCTTCAGCTTGTTTTCTTTGCTGATCCATCCTCATTTGTTGCTGCTTTGGAAACTGGTGACCCAGCTGCACATTTGATGGAAATCCTCCAATTTGAATACCACTCTGAGGTACATTTACCATTTGAGGTCCCATTTGAGATCCCACCTGAGGTCCTATTTGGGGTCCCATTTGAGGCCTTATGTGTGAGTTCATTTGAGGACCCATATGTTGACTCATTTGAGATCCCATGGGTAACCCCATCTGATATCCAGGAGGAGGACCAGAAAACCTCTGATAACAATATGATGAATGAATGAACTTTAATAATTACTCCTAGACAGGCTTTTCAGCAACTATTTACAGGTAAACAATTTACAATCACAAATGAACAACTTAAATAGGGTAATAAAAATGAAAAATATATATATGTGTGTCCAATGGGTATCATACAAAGACTATTAATGTGCTCCTCTTAGGGAGTCCTTTAAAGAATGTTTCAGTGACCTTCCTGAAGGCAAGTTCACTAGGTCACTTAATTTAGGGAATTTAATAGTGAAACTGCTCTATAAGCAAAGGTTCGTTGACCATTCGCAGACTTATAAAAAGAGATCTGAAGTTTGTTGCTATGCCACATGGCTCAATCAATAGAGAACACCACAAAACAAATATCTCACTCACATAGAACTTTACATCCCCTTTATCACAGATGCTATTAGTGTAGCATTTGTCAACACATTTGTGAAAAGTTATTTGATAAGTGGGCAATGGTCAGCCAAAAGTCGGCTTAAAATAAACAGAAGTCAGCCATTGGTTGACTGACACCTCATTACAGAACGGTTAGCTAATGTCTTAGCCATGATATTGGTAAACTATTGAGATGTTGGCCAACCATCAGTGGCTGTGGGACTATTATTTGGTGACAAGTGACCAACTCTCAACAGTCTACAAGCAACGATCAACAGATATAAGTTGCCCTTCAACTGGTATGAAAGATAGAGAATTAAGCTTATCAACTGAAATACTGGGGGATAAACCACCCACAAGAACCTATAGTGTACATGATCCTATCCTTCAACAGCAGGTACTGAAGCCAAACCAATTCTAAATAACTCTACATATACCATATAAAAAGTGTGCCTCTAGATAAATACAAGCTCCAACTATATGGACAAAAGTTGTCTACATTTTTAAGCCGTTACATATTAATTTTTGATTCCTTGGTTTAATCTTAAACCAAGTATGAAATTGATGTCTCACCTGGCCTTGATGAGAACCAAAACCCTGAACACCATGGGGTTGGCTGGGTTGAAAACCTCCCATCTGTTGAGCTGGTGCTGCCATCTGATTGAAGTTACCTTAAAATGATAAGGATAAGATAAGATTGTGATGTTAAGCATTACGTCATCAGATTTATCATCACGGGTTTATTACGAATCAACTTAACTGCCTGTTCCCAATTGGCTTGTTAGCTCAATTGGTAGAGCGCTTCACTAGTATCGCAGAGGTCAGTGGTTTGAATCCCGTACAGGCCTGATTTTTTTCAGGTCTGATTTTCGCTATTGCATAAATAGCGCTCTCTACTGCAAGGATCGTGCATCATACATGTTAAGCATTACCTAGCTACATTGATTTCTGTCAAAATATCTTTCATAAAGATCTGAATATTATTCTTGCTATGCGTCATGCTTACTGATCCAAAACACGAAATCTAAATAAATTTAACTTGCTTTCCCCCATGATTTTCAATTCTTTCCCTCTTATAGACAGCTGAAAGCAGAAAATACTTTGAACACCATCATTTACCGGTATTTTGGTATCGTTCTTTGAAAATGCAGAATAATGAAATTGACCCCTTTCCCTGCTGTAAGCACACTTTCATTTGTAACTCCACAGGGGACCCATACAATCTGTTTGTGTAGCCGACTATTGTTTTATAGTGAATGTACCAGATTTACCATTTGCCTCACCTATAGTGATATATTGCTGACTATGTACATAAATCATTGATAAATAAACATCGAATTACTTTACCTGTGGTGTATAGTCATCCTTTTGCATCAAAAATGTTTTTTTTAGCGATTTTGAACAAGTCTGAGTTCCTCGCTAATGTAATGCATAAAAGAAAGACAAGGGTGGAAGCCTTGTTTTGAAAGGGTTCAAGCACCCGAGCGATTTTTCCCCCAAAAATCGCATTGCTCTGCTTTCAAACTTCGCAGCATTAAGGTCAAAAGATGCACAATTCTCCTCGTACCTTCCATCTCAATAATTGACCACTTTAAAATAACGTCGTCCAATTCAAAATAACGCTGTCCAATCAGAAAAGGGCAATCAGCGTGACGGTTTCTGGCTGGCACATGAGAATCTTGCTACGCATCCCAGGCGCTCAAATACTGTGGGATTTTGATTTTCTTCGAGGGCTAGCTCCGGTCCATTTGGATGGATTTTCGATTGGAAGGTACGAGGAGAATCGTGCATCTTTTGACCTTAATGCTGCGAAGTTTGAAAGTGAAGCAATGCGATTTTTGGGGGGAAAATCGCTCGGGCACTTGAACCCTTTCAAAACAAGGCTTCCACCCTTGTCTTTCTTTTATGCATTACATTAATGACAAACTCAGACTTATATTCAAAATTGTTCAAAAAAAACATTTTTGAGGCAAAAGGATGACTATACACCACAAGTAAAAAAATTCAGTGTTTATTTATCAATGATTTATGTACATAATCAACAATATATCACCGTAGGTGAGGCAAATGGTAAATCTCGTACATTTACTATAAAACAACAGTCCGCTACACATACAGATTGTATGGGCCCCCTTTGGGAACTCCAATAATGTAGCAAATTCCACCTGAGGTTCTCAGTAACAAAATCTGCCATCAGACTTTCACAAGGCATAAATAAATTTTTGCAGATTACCAATGCCAATCAATAATTATAAAAGTAACAGCAGCAATTTTAATTGCTCTTATTCATAACGATTAGTTACTGTTTTCTATTGATTGGTGTCAGCTGGCTTTAATTTCTACTTAGCCGAACAATACAGTCGCACGGCACCAACCTAATCTCTTGCATGGCCACATATCGCAGCTGAGTTTACTACTCATTTTTTTTTTTAAGTTAAATTAAAATTTACCTTACCACATCGATTACCTACGATTAACATTAACTTAAGTCATTTCATATATTTTTTGTGAGACGACAGAAAAAGGATATAGAATGGAGAGAGAGAGAGAGAGTGAAGTGGTCAAACAGTTAGGTCATAAAATTATAGTTGCCTTTATTTGAAAATTATGGACGAATATTACAACCATATTCAAGGCCAATAAATGAAATCGTGTGACAATGTTTCACCAAGATTGATTTAAGCTCTCATTACAGCACCTGCTCAATCTTGATCGACAAAAAGAAAAGTAAAGAAGCTTATATTTGAGCTCCACCTACCTTGATTCTGAGATGGAATCATTTGCCCTGAAGCTGGAATGTTGAAGTTATTGAAAGCCATTTGATCCCTCGCTTTCGTTCCAGAGATCTTCACCGGAAGTTTTTCTGACTATAATTGTTAATTATGACCGAAAAAACACATGAACCATGCCAAATAACTTCATCTGCCATATCTGCCATAGAGGAGATTACAATACATACGTTGTGTATGCTACCTTCAAACATAATCATTTAGAAAACGCCAAACGAAGAAAGGAACTCTGTAAGTTAACCATAGTAAGAGACAGATTAGCGGTGCATATTAATGGCATTGTCAGCAACATCGATGGATACATCCTCCATGGAACTATTAAATATAGTGTCAAGAAGGCTGTGAAACGTGTTATCGCCACTCACGAGAAGAAACTTAAAAGTTTAACGCGAAACGTGGTTCTACCGTTTGCTTCAACGGAGACAGTCACCAACCTCTCGTCGCACAATCTCACCTCCGAACAATTGGATATACTTAAATATGGTCCTTCACATTCTATCTGTCCTCCTACCATTAGCAAAACGGATGTCTTCTCTTGTTTTGAGCTGATTAATCGCACCATGGTCAGAAATCTACTCGACAGGAAGCTAAAGGGAAAACTGGTCGCAGACCTTTCTCATCTTGCCCATTCGTACGTTTCTTCACACCAACCTTCTGCAGCGGACTTAAAGAAATGTAGGATACTAAAGGATTTGAGGAAGAACAAGGACATTGTAATACTGAAGCCTGACAAAGGAAATGGCTTAGTTGTCATGGACAGGAAAGCCTACGAAGAGGGTATTTTTTCCATTATCAGTGACACTTCTAAGTTTAAGGTTAATGATAACGATCCTACATTACAAAGGGAGGGTAAATTACAANAGTGTATATCGCAAGAAGACGTTTACTGGTCTTCTTACTAATTATTTCAGCTTCGCCCCTTTGATTTACAAATTAGGTTTAGTCAGAACGTTGATTGACAGAGCATATAAGATCAATAATTCCTGGGTTGGTTTTCATCTGGATGTCAAGAAACTTATTTTCTTGCTACGGAAAAATTGTTTTCCATCTTGGGTCATAGACAAGATCATTTACAGGTATCTAGCGAAGAAAAATAATCCTTCTCCTACTGGGCAGAACGCCTCTTCTAACTCCGGTAAACCTTCTGCGCACTATTATAAACTTCCCTATGTTGGTCGGTTTTCGAACATCGCTCAGACTAAGTTAAGACAACTACTCAAACGTTATTGTAGAGCTGATTTAGATGTTAAGTTAGTCTTCAGTACGTTTAAACTCAGAAACATGTTCAGTGTGAAAGATTCAGTACCGCTAGGTCTACGTTCGCGTGTCATATATAAATTTTCATGTGCTGGCTGTAATGTCAGTTATATTGGTGAGACCACTCGCCACATTTGTACACGAGTTCGTGAGCACCTCTTGTCGGACAAAACTTCGCATATTTACAAGCACCTGCAATCATCAAGGGCTTGTCTTGACTCTTGTGATACTGAATGTTTCACGATCTTAGATTCTGCCGCTTCAAAATACCAAATTAAGATCAAAGAGGCATTGCATATTAAGTGGGAAAAACCTATCCTTAATCAGCAATTGAAACATCTAGAATTGTCTATTTCCTTTTAATTATGTTGTTCCTTGGTCTTTTAATTTATTTTTATTATTTATTTATTTAATTATTTTTTTATCTAGTCAAGTGCGCGCTATTTACATTTTTCGCGTTTTTAACATTGAAATGTAACGTAAGCGCTGACACGTAGTTTGTAACGTACCTTAATATAAATTCAAATGTACAACAGTTAAATGCTTATTTGCAACTGAAGATGACATGAGAATGTCGAAACATGTTTCAAAGTTGTTTCTTTTTTGAGAGTTATTGTTACTCTGCTGTCTTTACGTCCTTTTGAAATCATTTAGAAATAATCATTTAGATATAAGCTACGTCAGGAATTCAAATGTGGACTAAGTTATTCCTAAGTAATTCATAAAATTTGGGGTAATAAGATTCTCTGACGTGGAGAAGCATCAAGAATTCATACCTGGACAGCGGTAAAATTTGTAAAGGTGGGTTTCGACAAATTTTCTGTAAAATCCACTTACATTAGTTAATTATGCATGCAATGTACCCGTATATCTTTTAATCATAAATTCTGGGAACTATGAACCATTCCTTAGATTACTAGACACCATACGTTTTTGATTATTAATTACTGCCTCCATATAAGATTATCATATGGCGTCATGCTGTTTAAATGTGTATTCTATCCTATACGCTCCTGTAGCTTCTCATTCCTCTGCTATTTTTTTAAATCTCTCCTTTCTCCTCTTTTCCAGACCGATCACTTTTTTTTTTTTGCTTTTTTTCCTTTTTTTTTTTAATCTATCGGTGCAATCGACATAATGGCATTGATTTTTTTTTATTGTTTTACCCTCTTCTTTTTCGCGCTGGTGGAGCGCATGGGGTGTCCAACTGCCACGGGTCCTGTCGCATGAGAAAAGTTTTTGCAATATCACACCGGATATGGCGCTATAGAAGCTAAAGTAACATCTTATCATTACTTCATTTGGCAACTGGGTAACCGGTCAAGTCGCCCGAAAGTCAACTTGTTCAAAGTCATGTCGCCGGGAACCAGAATCATGTTGCCCGAAATTCATAAACATGTCGCCCGAAATCCTGAGTCATGTCGCCCGAAATTTTATCGAGTGTTTAAACTTGAAGAAAAGTAACATCTTAAGTAAATCACAAGGAATCAACTCGTAAAATGTTGACTCGTAACATTTTTTCGTCTGCTAACCTATGAAAATAGTAAACAAAGACTCAAATATCGCTGTTCGTTTCAGCGTTGATCGTTGCTATGAACTAAACTCCTCACTCTACAGTACAGATTCTAGTAATTATAAGCTGAACACTTTCAATTCTCAGAATTTTTCACACATATCAGAAAAATACATCAAGTTCTCTTAGTTTGATTTATCGCATAAAAAACAACCTGAAACTTTTACAGCGATTTTTGTTGTTTATTGTTAACCACACGAACAAAGCGTGTTGGCACTATTCCCCTTAGAATCAGACGCGGCATAAATTATCGCGACTTGTTCAGTTATTCCTTGTTTCCTCAGCCGGTCGCAGGTAAATTTTGATCTAGTTAACCATATATAAAGAGGGTAAATTAATAACAGCCACCTCATTCCGAGATAATCAGCTAGCTGAAACACGAGATAGTTACGCCTACGCAAAAGAATCATACAATGAGCCTTCATCCCTGTATCGAGTGCGGAATTGAAGTTCGACCACGCCAGCAAGCCCTTCAGTGCGACGATTGCGGCTTTTGGCAGCATCGTTTCTGCGGGACTGGTATCGACCAAGCCACCTATCGTTTGGCAGTAATCAGAGGAAGAAGAGATTGATTGTTCGTTGCATGTTCTCTTGCGGCTTCCGCCCCGTGTCGTGCCCTTCCCAAACCCAGTTACATCACCAGACGGGCAAACAGACTGCGACAACGTCATAGGCCTCATCTAAATCCAGTCGATCTAGACTTCGTCCTGGGCGAGACTCGCCTGCCCGAAGACTTCCTACTAGCAGACGTCGAAGCAAGGAACCGGCGACACCTGGTATTTGCGGTTGCAGAGCAGCTTGAACTTCTTTCAAACGCGAAGACCAACACTTTTCTACCCAGTTCCTGGAGCGTCTACGGACAGCCTGCCCGTACCAATAATGATATCGAGGGATGGCACAACTCCCTTAACCGATGCACTGGTGGTAGAGTTCAACTACCTTTCTACCTTCTGATTCAGCTGCTCCACCGAGAGTCTACTGTGTGCACCGTCCAAGTTCGACTCGTCAACGCCAGAAAACTGCAAAGGATCCAGCGTAAAAAATATCGCACGCTTCAAGCAATAATCTTTGGCTACTGGGAGGACTACGCTGCGAGTAAAACTTCAAGTAGGCCACTCCTTAAAGCATGCTCTCACTTAGCACATGGACCAATTCGTACAGATTAGTTTTCTTTAGTTTCTGCTCGCGTTTAGGAAAGTAATGATATTATAATCATCATCGTCATTATTATTATTATTATTATTATTATATGGCAGTAAACACTTCTGAATGCTTCAGAGTACAGACAAAGTTGATATAGGGCGCCAAAGGCGTAGCCTATTCAATTGTCACTACTACGTAAATAAGAGCTAAACTTTAAAAAAAAAAATGTGTGCCCCTAGACCCTAAAAGGAAATAAATGTTCCATCAACCAATTAAAACTATGCTTGAAGCTAGCGTCGTTTAAGGAACTTAGTCCGATAGGACCTTAAAAGTCCAGACACAAATAAACCTAAAAATTCTAAAAATGTTTAAAACCTATACTTAAACTAACGTCGTTGGAAGAACGACTTTGAAAGTCCCGGTTAGCTCAATGGATGGAGCGCTGGACTGTTGTGCGGGAGGTCGAGGGTTCGAGCCCCGGCCGGACCAACACTCAGGGTCTTAAAATAATTGAGAAGAATTTGCTACCTTTCTATAACGTCAAGAAATGGTTAGATATTCTAGTCTTCTCGCATAAGGACGAATAAATGGAGGTCCCGTCTCCTGCAGGGTTGGGGTAGGAGACGTTAATTTCCCACANTCTCCAGCCCATGGCCCCCAAGCCCCCTCGGTAGATATACTACGGCTGTAGACCCAAGAGAGTACTTGCCCCCATTCTCAACGATAACCTTTCTTGCTTCTCTGTCCAGCCTCTTGAGTTCCGCTATGGGCCAGCACTGGGTGGGCATCAAGTAGCTTACCACTGGCACCGCAAACTGATTTGAAGCCTGCACCTTGTTGTAGTCCGAGAGCGGGCTAGTCCATATCAAAGATGGACGTTATAAATAAGTCTTGCCTGCGATCTAGAGAATGAGATTATCATCCGGTTTAGTGCTTTCCATAATTCCGAGGAACTTGTAATGAGACCTCTCATCCAAACTCTCGGTAACCTCCCTCTCGCTGTCTCCCACACTCACAGGCTCCTCTGGTTCCAATGTCCCTCTTTTCACTTGGGCCACTGGGCACTTTCTTTCGTT